GKKTATRWGTGTGTGGTGTATGTGTGTGTGGTGTATGTGTGTGTGTGTGTGGTGTATGTGTGTGGTGTATGTGTGTGTGTGTGTGGTGTGTGTGAGTGTGTGTGTGTGTGTGAGTGTGTGAGTGTGTGTGAGTGTGTGTGTGTGTGTTGGCAGCGCATGGTCGTGGATGGTGTGGATTGGTTGAATGGAATGAGAAACCCCTCTCCCCCAGCGGTGAGGGGCGGCAACAACCACTAAGTGTCAGGATGATCTGAGAGGGAGAGCGAGAGCGAGAGGGAGGGAGAAGGAGAGAGAAGGAGAGAGTAGAGAGTAGAGAGAGAAAGGGAAGCTGCAGTGCCAACTCATCACTGCCCGGGCCCATTTGTCTTGTCCGGGGATGCTGGGCAGTGAATGGTACGTTCCGGTCGAGAGATGTCTGTTTCGACTTGTTGCCTGTAGCATTGGACATGGTTGTGTGCTTTACTGGCGAAGGAGAGGGCACCGCCGAATGGTAGTCGTGATAGTAGATTGTGTGCGTACTACGGAGTGCTACAGTAAATGACACTGTCAGTAATCATTCTGCACAACAGCTGCTTCTTTCGAGGACCCTGAAGACAACACGAGATAGTTGGAGGAGAAGAAGAAGAAGGCAAAAGGATGTGGTGGTGGTGGTGGTGGTGGTGGTGGCAGGTAATAACCCTGACCCTGGCCCTTGAGGCAGTGTTGTACACGGGCGGGTTGTTGCCAGTGGGCCATCTCGGAACAACAGCAAAATGGCCAACGCATCTCGCAGGGAAGAGACAAGAGGTCCCAGACCGCGATGATGTGTTTTGGATGGGCCGTGAGAGAGCAGTGACGGTTGGCCTGACCGATTCTCACCAATTCCCTCACCATTCTTCACCAGCTGCGACGACGGGCGGTGATGGCCATTGTTCCTTCTATTCCGTTCCAGTGCTGTCCAGTGCTGTCCAGCGCTTCCCAGCGCCTCCGGTGCTCGGTTTCTGTCGAACGAGTGATCGTACCGGTAACTGACAGTGTTACTTGCCACTGTAATCTGCACCTCGGCGCTGTCCACTGTAATATTACCTCTCTCAGCCTTCAGCGCTACGATCTGGCGGACGCCGTTAAGGACAGATTTGGACTAGCGCAGGTCCGCTGCTGCCCGCTGTCCGCTACCCGCCACCAGTCGCTCCTGCCATGTCGACGCTAAAACGCCGTGTCTGCTCGTACAGGTATTCATGACAATAATACTGTAATGGTATTGCTTGGAGCGGGAGGAAGGTCCTGGATCTTGGGACTCGTTGCCGCTTCCTATCACGGTCGCAGTGGAGCCGTCCCTGCTCCATGGCGCTCTTCTTGTAGTCGCGATAGCATTGTAATACTGTCAGCAGCAGCATCACCCAGCTTACTTCCCAAAGTAACAATGCCATTCGGAGAAGGTGTATCCGTCTAATGCAGTCCCCATGTTGGTGGCAACGTGGAAGGAAAACGCCTACATATGAACACCTACATGCAATATTACGGGTAGACACAGGTACAGGTCGACCATCAATACAGTACGAGTACAGCGCACCTCCCAGCTCCTGCATCTCCTGCACCTACAATCCCCGCCTGGCCACTCATCCACCACCACGTCCTTTGGGTCTTTTGGCCACCGAGTCAATGTCCCTAGCCCAAGTACGTATTCATTCTGCTGTTCAATAACTTTTACCCGTACTGGTACACTAGTACACTAGTACCCCGTACTCTACTTCATGTACAGATTATAGTAGGTGGTGTAGTATATTACCACTACTACTATTACGAGCAATACTTGTATCACATAGGCAGACACCTAGACACCTAGATTTCTCCTTTTACTAGAACCAGGCGCGCGATCCATCTCCAGCTTCTCTCTTCTCTCCCCTCCCCTCCTCTTCCTTTTCTCTTCCTCTCTGATCTTTCCGCTCTCCCTCTCTCCCCCTTCCCCCCCTCCCCCCCTGCCCCCCTCTCTTTCTCCCCCCCCTCTCTGACTGTATACTCTCGACAATATACAATATACAATTCTCTGCTACCAGATGCATCCGTCTTGTTCTTGACCTACATCGACCTTTGGTCTGCCCGCCTTGGTCTGCCCGCCTTGGCTCGCCCGCCTTGGCCCGCCCGCCCTGGTCTACTCGCGAACTCTCCTCCCGCCGGACCCTGGCTCTCGTGCCAGACCCAGACTACCACTTCCGACCGCCTCAATCATCTCCACCTTCTGCCATCCTTGCTTGACATCCTGGACGCTTCTGCTTCCAGACAGCCGGAGACGACGCCGAGAGACGTTCCTTTCCTTATTTTTTTTTGGCCTCTAGATTCACCCTACATATACATACTCTCTCTCTCTCTCTCTCTCTTCCCCTCTATCTTCCTTCCTCTCTTCTTTGATACCCCTTCCTCCTCGGTCGCAGGTTCGAGCCGCCGTCGTCATCTCTAATCGCCACCCCGCACACACACATACACGAGGCACAAGGCTGCCAGACTCACGCTGCTTGATCATCCTGGCACGGCTACTGCTACTACGAGTACATCCACAAGCTCCACAACTTCGATGGGTACACTATGATTTCCATGCAACGCTCTCTTTCTTCGCCAGTCCGCATTCACCCATCCCCACGTATGTTGTGATGCTCTCTCCAAGACACCACAGCCCTTGCCCTCCCCGCATCTTACTGCCCCGAAATCCCCCCTCCCCCCCCCTTCCTTGCGATGCTACTGCCTGCCACAACGCTAACCCTCCATGGCCGCCGCGCCTGACGATGGCTATAGCTCCGTCGCCCTCACTCGAGCTGTCCTCTTCTAGAACCCGATCCCCGACAAGAGACAGCAGCAGCAACCACCCTTCAGATGTCGTCCCGCCTAGGCAGAGGCCATCTCGTAGCCCCTCACCGCTTGCGTTCTCGCGCCAGCGCCAGTCGCTGCCCATGCGCCCTGCCGACGATGGATTGAGGAGAGGACGCCACCATCACCACCACCACCACCATCAGACCACCACCATGAGCTCGTCGTCCCGCCGACCCATCGTCGCCCAGGCGTCCGGACCCGAGGACTCTGCGCCCCGCCGTGACTCCCATGACCGGCCCGTGACGCCCCCGAACCTCTTGGAGGACAAGGCGCCGTTCCCCTCGACCCGCCCTAAGCCCCTCCTCGAGGATGTCTCCCTATATACGAACAACCACATCGCTCAGGATACTGGGAACACCACTCTGGAGGAGCTGGCTCACCTTGTCCGTCTGTCCAAGTATCAGGAGCGCAAGCGCGCGAGCACACGTACCCGTCTGCAGAGGACCCTTGTCTCTACCGCCCTGAGTGCCCGGCTGACCCGTTGCGGAGAGATTGCCCACCGGAACCTGGTTGAGAGCTTTCGCCGGGATGAGAAGGAAAACTTTGCTTCCCTGTACAACGCCATCCATGATGTCCGCAAGAGCTGCGACGAGCTCAGGCGCTATGCCCTGTTGGAGCCTGACCTGGAGTCCCTGGCCTCCCCCATTCTCGGCTCCCCCGAGAACCCGGCCTTCCAGGCTAACTCTGTCCCTCCAGCTGACTTGATGCGCCCCATGGTTCCTTTTCTGGATGAGCTGACCGCTTCCTCGAGGGACACCTTCCTCGGCTTCCTGACCGAGCTCCGCACAAACCCAGACTTCCTAGCCACCAGGATCTGTGCCCTGACCAGCTCCGAGCTGAATGCGTTCCTCACCTTCCACAAGGGCCTCGAGCCCGTTGAGTCGGTCCTCCCCTTCCACGGCCGCCAGGCTTCTCGCTCGCACGCAAGCGCGTCGGCACGGAGCGCCACAAACGTCGATATTGAGCGCCTCCTGTCATTCCAGCGCCATGACCCGCTGTCCATCCTGATCCACACGTGCTTTGCCAACTCCGCCGGCCCGGACAGCTCTGAGGATCAGAGGCGTACCGAGATATGGGCGACCGCCCTGGCCAGGCTCATATCCGAGCCCAAGTCCACCGGGGAGCATTTTCTCATCTCCGTACTGAATATCTGGACTGCCATGCGGGATTGGTCTGGCCGTGCCAACATGGAATGGTACCTCATGAAGATCCTCAAGGAAGGCGCCTTTCTCCTGGAGCGTGCAGAGGACCAGCACGGGACCCGCTTCAACCTGTCCGATTGGAATCAGGCCGACGAGGTGGCCGCCAGGGAGTTCTACGACCGCGCCGTAGACGGGCTCTTTGAGGTGGTCGATGATGACGATGCTACGGGTATCCCCGAGGGCCTCCTCGAGCTCGGAAACGCCATCCTCAACAAGCTCAGCCACAAATACATTGATAACACGTCGCGCTGGCTCGTCTGGCGCTGCCTCTTCTTCGTCTTCCTGCTCGGCGTCATCATCCATCCCGAGTCCTACGGCATGCTGGTCGACTACCACATCACCCCGTATGCCCGCGAGAAGATCCTGCGCAAGGTCGCCATGAAGGCCCACGAGTACGTGTCTAGCATGTGGAGCGGTAAGCCCTCTGCCACCTGCGTCCCCGTCGAGACGCCCCCCAAGATCAAGGCACACGTCGAGAACATCCTGGCCAGGTTTCAGGGTTCCCGCTCCAGGGTCCCCGCCGCCAAGCTCCTCCCCGCCAGGTCCGTCACCTCCCTCAGGGAGACGGTAGAGGTGCATCCGTACCTCGTCCTCAGTCCCGCCGACATGGCCACTCTGGTGAACGCCCTGTTCCCGGAGCGCCGCCCGCTGTCGGCCACGTCCAACAGCCTTCGGTCCGGCCCGCCATCGGTGTCCGGCATGTCGGCTATATCCCAGACCATGCCGACCGGAAACCCTAGGAACAGCAGCTACGAGACGGCATCCATCATCAGCACCAGCGCCTCGTCCATATTCAGTGACGCCACCACATCCCGCGAGGCGCTTCGCGACGGTCTCTTCGAGGAGGCCGCCGCCGCCGCCGCCGCCGCCGCCTCCACCTCCGGCACGACCACGCCGCAGCGCTACTCGCCCGAGGCAGAGGCCCAGATGCGCCGAGCCGGTTACGAGGACGACGGCTACCGTCTGAGGCTCGCTCTGCACGAGCTGGGCCGCACCATTGGACCCGAAGCTCTCCGCGGATCCTGCCACCCCTGCGCTGAGCGCTGGATGGTCCTCTTCGTGTCGACGAACGGCAAGAACCTGTCCACCCACATGACGTACGACCCGGACGACGACCTGGACGACGCTGCAGACAGCTCATCCAACGCGGACAGCGACGACGAGGAGCCCGAGGCTGCGGGGCCGCTCGACAAGGACTACCATCAGCTCCGCAGCTCGATTCTCAAACTCGTCGAGGACTATGAAATTCCGCGCAACCTCGAGAACCAGGGCAGCACCCCGCTCAGCAACAGGGCCTCGGGACTCAAGAAGTACAAGTCCAGGAGCAAGATCATCACACCGGAGAAGACCATGTCCAGCCGCAACCCTTACAGGAGGCAGATGCAGCAGGAACAGCAGCAGAAGCAGGCAGATGCGAAGATGGCGTCCGTGAGCGAAGAACCAGACTCGTCGAGGCCTAGAGGCAAGGACGAGCCCGAGTCGGATCCCGTCCTGGTGGCCATGCTCAAGTCTGCGTCGTCCCAGTCCAGAGCCCAGGCAGACTTCGTCTCGGCACACATGTACTGGAAGACGTTGCGCCAACTCCAGGCCCTGGAGTCGCCGTCTCTGCGCCAGGATGGGTTTGCCACTCTGATCAACATCCTGTCCCGGGGACCGCGCGACTCGATTCGACGGTCGGCGGCCGCCATCGAAGAGTACGATGCCTGGCTCATCTGGCTCAAGCAGAGCCAGGAGAGGCACGAGGGCCTCATCGACCGCATGATGAGGCAGGTGGGAGCCATCCGTGACAAGATGTGGTACGTCACCGACGTGCGCAATTCGAAAGAGTACACCCACAGCCGCGACATCTGCCAGGCCCTGCGGACGATGGGCATGCCCCGACGCTCCAACCCCTTCTCCAGCCTCCGCGCCAACATCCCCCGGGGAGCGTCCAGCGCGTCCTACCTGTACCGCGCCGAGTCGCAGATCATGGACCTCCTCGCGGCATCGGAGGAGCAGGGGGGACCCAACAAGCTGAGCGACGATCAGGCGGAGCTGACGACGGCCTGGCTGCAGCAGCTCGGCATCGAGAACTTCTGCCAGGGGGAGGAACGCATCCACCGGTTCTCGTGCGAGGTGGACCGGTGCATCTCCAAGCTGATTGGCGAGACGGTCCGCGAGGCGCCCGTGCTCTGGTCGAGCGAGCTCTACAGGCGCGACAAGATTGTCTATGATCGTCTGCGCGCGCGTGAACGCGAACTCTCCTCACCCGGCGGCGCGGACGATGCAGCCAGCATCATCAGTGGCGAGGGTGACAGGAAGTACGGTTCCTCCTCCGGCAGGGGCGGCAGTTCGCTGCACAGGGACATGAGGAGCGTGTCGGGCTACAGCTCCAGTCAGCTATCGCTGGATGCGTCGAGGCACGGCATCCCGAGAGCCAGCGCGCCGCTATCGGACATACTGGACGGTCCGGACTACCTCGAGAAGTCGCCCGTCCACGCACCCGGCGACGCTGCAGGCACCTTCTGGTCGCCGTTCCAGCCAGCCATGTCCCCCGGCTCGGGCAACTCCAGGGCGTACTCGCCCACCACGAGCCTGACCAATCTGTCGACGACCTTCTCCGGACACACGCATCACACGCCTCTGGCATCGAGCTCGAGCTACTCCATGGGGCGACCCGGGACGTCGGCCTCGTCCAACGAGACGATCAACAACCAGCAGCAGAGGGCCGATGACGAGAAGACGCGGTTCCTCAGCGACCTCAGGCGGTCGCTCACGAGCCTGCTCCTCTCGGACCTGGGCAGCCAGGTCCTGTCCAAGGGATCCGAGACGGACGCCTGGTTCAACAAGACTGGCCAGCAGTGTATCGACCGCAAGGACGCGTTCGACAGGCGGGCCAAGCGGCGGTCGGAGAAGAAGGAGAGGTACGAGAAGCAGCACGCGGCGCGGAGCTCGACGACGCGCCCGAGGGTGATTGAGAAGAAGAAGAGCTTTGGGAACCTCAGGGGTGCGGGCGACACGGACAATGAGGCTTCGCCCGCCCCCAGCGAGGCATCGACCGCTGTGGGACGGAGCGGGCGGCAGCAGCATGTGCAGATACAGGTACAGGCGCAGGCGCACGGACCGGTGCCGTCTCAGACCCAGACACCGAAAGACGAGTCGCCCGATTTCCCCTTCCGCAAGGCATACGAGAGGCTTCTCAACATGTTCTGCGTGCACTCGTGCCCGCACGCCAAGCTGAATGCGCTCAACGAGCTGGAGAATCTGATTGTGGCGTCGCTATCGTCGAGCGGATCCAAGAAGTCGCGGTGGAACCGGTCAGACGCCGGTTCCAGCGTGGCGGAAGAGTACGGGCCCGTACACCGACCCACGCCGCTGGAAGGCACCATCGACAACGTGCGGGAGCGACGATCGCATACCCTGCAGGCCGGTGCTTGCGGAGGTGTCGGTGGCGGCGGCGGCGGCGGCGGCAGCAGCAGCGGAGGAGGAGGATACAGCAGTCGGCAGGGGGCTGAGACGCGGTCGATTGTATCTTCGGGCGCGAGCACGACGGATGCAATCACGCGTGAGCTGCAGAAGCTGTTCCGCGACGCGTCGATACGGCCCAAGACACTGTTCCGCGACCTGCAGCTCATCGCGTCGTTTGTCCCGCCATCCGTGCTGGAGAGGCCGGAGCGCGGCAGAGCATTCTGGAACGCCGGTCTGGCAGCGCTGAAGCTCAAGTCCGAAGTGTGCCGGACAATGATGGAGATGGCGGACGAGGTTGTGGCAGCGCACACTCACGCGCGCAAAGCGTCTGCCGAAGCTGCGGTTGTGGCGGCGGCGGGGGCAGCAGATCAACAGCAGCAGCCCCAATCCCAGACCTCCACACCACCCCCGCCATCGACATCGTACCGTCTCGAAGATGCGGGCCGGATGTGGACGATCACCGCCAAAGAGGGGTATCCGACAGCGCAGAGGGAACTGGCACTGTTCTACCTGTCCAACCCGGAGTCCGTGGAGAGGACGACTCTGCCCCTGTCCAAGCCCAGGGAGGTGTTCAAGCAGGTTGTCATGGAAAAGTACGGGCGCGGTCCGTCTGGTGTCGGTGGGATCGGAGGAGGTCTGGGAGTGGGTGAGAGTGGCGACGGTGCAGGCGGAGGTGTTGGTGAGGGTGATGTCAGGAATGACGCCGGGTTGATGTGTGTCGCCGTGCATTGGATGGAGGCAGCTGAACGGGGAGGCGATGAGCTTGCCACAAGTTTCCTGAGGCAGAATGAGTTTATGGGGCGGTAAAAGGTCATTTTGTCGTCGCCGCTATCGTCTGAGAGGGGATGATGCAGCAGCATGAACTGTCCCCCTTCTCTCTCTCTCTCTCTCTCTCTCTCTCTCTCTCTCTCTCTCTCCCTCCCTCCCCCTCTCTCCTTTTGCCGGTCTCTTCTTATTTTATTTTCTTATTTTTTTCAACATATACCACGGAATCTTTTGTTATCTTGGAAGGAATACGAAGCATGAAATAGCAGGCGTGGGTTATACATTTCGTTAAACCTGTCTTTACACTCTTTTACATTTCTTTTCTATGTTTGATAGATGATATACCAATAAGCGTTGATGCTTTGCAAATGTCGGTGTCATGCTCGTGCAGGAACAGGTAACAGGTACGACCCGTCTACTATGAGTACGATGGTATGAGGATCTCATCGGATTCTGTGCCAGCAGATTGCTGTCCGGCAATTCAGTAAAACTGGACTGACTGGACTGAGTCGAATCCCGCTTGCCGAGTGAGTGAGCGAGTAGACGATTGTTTGAGAAGACCAGGCAGGAGAGGAAGCCGCGTGGGGTCTCTCGAGGGCAGGCGTACAGAGTAATATCAGTAGAGAGATTCACGACATGGACACCTCTGTCTCTGACATCCGTAAAGGGTCGGGGTTCATGCATGGGGGGGGAGGGTGGAGAGGGGAACCGTCGGTGTTCATCGACAGTCTGACAGGGAAGGAGGGGAGTATGCTGCCTGGTCAATGGCCCCACATGTATATTGATCGGGGTAATACGGAGGAAATCATGTCCTGTATTCGTACTAATATCAATAAACATGTAATAATACCCCCTAGATGCCATGCAGAGGCTTTCCTCAACTGCATCTACGACACGTGATTCCGTGTCATGTTCTTGCTTGAGATTCACGGTGCTGATGCCTAAAATATGACTAGATCATTGATGATGATCCGCATCAAGTTAGGGAGAGGAAGTATTCAAGAGGGGAAAGCAGTCTGGGATCTGGGATGCTTCATGGGTGGCGTGCTGGTGCCTGGACCCTAGACCCTAAACAATCGGAGGCTGATGCTGACAGGAAGGAAAGTAGAGTAGCTGGTTTGCTTCTTGCCGGATTGGTGGCGTACAGTAAAGGGAATAAAGGGACTGTTCCTTCCCTCTCTAGGCTCATTCCCTCTTCCTTCCTTCCTTCCTCTTCTCTCTCTCCTCAGTTCTCTTTCTTTCACCTTCTTCCTCTTCTTCTACTTCCACCCGTTGTGATGTGGACTGATATTGACCGTCATTTTCGTCTTATACCCACACAGCACACACACACACAACACACAACACAGCATGGCTACCAGACGACAAGCAGCGGCAGCAGCCAGAAAGGCAGCGGCAGCAGCACCGTCCCCCCCTCCCCTAGATGGTCACACAGTCGCACTCTGCGGAAACTTCACCTCGTACAGCCATAACCAATCGTCGATGGAGGACACGGTGCGTCGGCTGGGCGGCAAGGTGGCCAAGAGCATCACCAGGACCACCACCCTCCTCATCTGCTCAGAAGTCGAATACATCGACCGCTCCAACAAGGTCAGGGACGCTATGGCCAAGAAGATGCCCATCCTAGGCCCCGGGTGGCTCCTCGACACCGAGCGGGAGAAGAGGGTGGTAGACACGGCTCCTTATGACTGGGACATCATCAAGCCTACCTCTACCAACAATTCCACTGTCAACAGTGCCAATGGTGGCGACAAGAAGAATAAGCGTCCTGCCCCACCGACCCCGGCCGGGGATGGTGGGCCGGACGTCAAGAAGACCAAGATCGTGGCCGAGGGTCAGTTTATGAAGAATGATGGCGTTATACAGCCTGATGAGCATTGGCCCCTCGTCGGGTACCAGGTTTATGTCGAGCCTGACACTTGCCTCATCTGGGACGCTTCGCTTAACCAGGCTAATTCGGGGAGGAACAATAATAAATTCTATCGGATACAGGTACGTTGCTCTCTCTCCCTCTCTCCCTCTCTCTCGGTCGTCATTTGAGAAAGATTTTTCTATGTCAGTTGATTTTCATCGTTCTGTTGAGAAAGATGAGAAAGAATCTTTCAAATAGAAGTGACGTTTATTTAGAATGAAGAATAAAGGGGGAGAGAGACAAAGTCTGAAGCCTGAACGAGTCCGAAGCCTAACATCAAGCAGATCCTGCACAATCCAGACACTGGCGATTACAAGACTTGGACTAGGTGGGGCCGTGTCGGTGACACTGGCCAGAGTGCCATCCTCGAGGAGGGAGGCCTTGATGTCGCCGTTACAGAATTCAAGAGAAAGTTCAAGGACAAGTCCGGTCTGGCGTGGGAGCACCGTGGGGATGATCCTAAGCCCAACAAGTACGCTTTTGTTGAGAAGAACTACAATGACTCGGACGACGAGGATGATGATGATGACGCCAAGCCCAAGAAGAAGACGGCCAAGCCGGAGGGCGGATATGGAGGAGCTGGGGCTGCTGGAGAGGAAGAGGGGGGGGAGCTCGCATCCCCCAAGTCCGCCCTCCCAAAGCCCGTCCAAGAGCTCATGGAACTCATTTTCAACCAGAAGTATTTCCAGGCCACCATGGACTATCTCAACTACGACGCCAACAAGCTGCCCCTGGGCAAGTTGAGCAAGTCAACCATCACTCGTGGTTTCCAGCAGCTCAAGGACCTGGCAGCCCTGCTCAACGACCCCAGCCTGGCCGCGTCCCGGTGGCAGACCACCCTCGGCCCGGCTCGGGAGCGTCTGTCCAACACGTACTACTCTCTGATCCCGCACGATTTCGGCCGCCACCGCCCGCCCACCATCATGGACGGTGTCCTACTCAAGAAGGAGATTGATCTCCTGGAGAGTCTGTCGGACATGAAGGCCGCGGCGGACATCATGAAGGTGAACAAGAAGACGCAGGAGACGGTCAACAAGTTGGACGCGCAGTTCCAGGGCCTGGGGCTGGAAGAGATGTGCCCCCTCGACAGGAAGAGCGATGAGTTCTCCCTGCTGGCGGGGTACCTAAACGGGTCGCGCGGGTCCACGCACCACGTCAGTTACAAGATCCAGGACATCTTTCGCGTCGAGCGGCAGGGAGAGCGCGATCGCTTCGACGCCTCCGAATTCGCCAGGATGGTCTCGGCCCCGGCAGGCCAGACGGGCTCGGACCGTCGCCTCCTGTGGCACGGATCCCGCTGCACCAACTTTGCCGGAATCCTCAGCCAGGGCCTGCGCATCGCGCCGCCAGAGGCCCCCGTGTCCGGGTACATGTTCGGCAAGGGCATCTACCTGGCCGACATGTCGTCCAAGTCGGCCGGGTACTGCTCGTCGTCGATATCTGACGGTCACGCCCTCCTACTCTTGTGCGAGGCCGAGCTGGGAGACCCCATGCACGAGCTCATCCATTCCAGCTACAGCGCCGGCGAGGATGCCAAGAAGCTCGGTAAGGTTAGCACGTGGGGTATGGGGAGGACGGGTCCTTCCAAGTGGACTGACGCTTGTATTGTGAATGATGGCTTGAAGGGTATCAAGATGGTGGGTTCTCTCTTCTCTCATCTCCTCGTCTATGGACTATTCCCTTGTTCCTTTTTTGCGTCTCCCTCTTCCATCCTCTACACTATTCCTCCATTATACACCCTGCCCATACTGACTTTGATAGCCCGACCCTGATACTCCGCCCAGCACTATTTGTGAAAATGATCGAGTTCTCTATTACAACGAGTATATCTGCTACGATGTTGCTCAGGTCAAGATTCGTTACCTATTCCGGGTCAAGATGTGATGCCTTTTTTTTTTCAACTCTTTTTTTCTCTTATTTCTGTTTCTTGTCCTAAGAAGAACTTTTTTGCATCCATGGCGTTTTGTCTTTTTTTTCCCCATCTAGCTGGGTCATGATGATACCCACATGAATCGTTATAAAACAAATGATTTGAGAACCAAGATGAAATGAAAAAGCACAGCCATACCTCTTGTCCCGGGTATATAAAAATCCTCTATGTGACGGGTCCAAAACGATCCAGAACTGTCCAACCCCCCCGACGAAAATGACCAAAAAAAAAGAGGAAGAAAAAAAAAGGTAATCAGAGGGGTAAAAGAAGTATAGATCATCCAAGGAAATGTGATGAGTGAGTAATACGTAACCCCGCAGACATGGTTAATCCTCTCATATTGCTTTTTAAACAAGAGAAGAATTTTGACTAGGATAAAAAAGAAAGAAAAAAAAAGAGGTACAAAATGAGAAATGGAACAAAGAGACATCATCTCGGTAGACATGGGGATGCATGTATAATATGCTTTTCGACGTTATAAATTCATGGATGAGGTGGTGGACCACTCCCCATTGGTAGGCGTGGGAGTCCACAGGTTGACGTCGAATCCCATGCCAAAGTCCAGGCCGTTGTCCAGGCCGGAAGAGTCCATGGCACCCTCAAAGGCATTGTTGAGCTCGGATGGCACATCCTGTCCTCCGGCGCCGGGCGTCGTCGTCCCGCCTGGCGTGCTGGCTGCTGCGGCAGAGGCGTCAAAGTCGTCCGTCATCATATCGCCCGCGTCTGCCGCTGCAGTAGGTGGAGAGGACCATGCACCCCCGCCTAAGCCGCCGCCGCCGCCTCCAGAAGCAGACGCCATCATGTCGGGGGATAACGTCATCTGAGCTGTGGGTGCTGACGCACCCGCTACGGCTGCTGCTGCGGCCGCTGCCGCCGTGGGTTGTTGTCGCCGTGCTTGTTGCTGCTGCTGCTGCTGCTGCTGCGATTGGTGGTCCGAAGCCGTGGTGCCGGCTGATGTGGGCGTCGTCGACGACGTCATGAGGGTGTCGTCGGATCCGTCCATGTCTCTGAACAGGGCTCGACGGGAGGCGTCCTTGGAGAAGGCTCCGACGAGGGCCGTGCTGCGCGTGTTGCGGTGCGGGTCGGGCGGAGGCGTCGCCTGGGCGGCCGGCATGACGCGCGGTCCCAGCCCGTCGGATATCAGGCGCTCGAGGTCGGTGCGGATGCCGGCGGCGGCCGTGCCCGTGCAGCAGTCCTTGATGGTCTGGAGGCACACCTTGAACTGCTCGATGATGACCTCGGGCGGCAGGTTGAGGCGACCCGAGTTGGCGTGGTAGGCGTACTTGAGCATGCGGGCGCACTGGTAGGCGCAGATGGCCAGGTCGAGGTCGGCGACGGGCCGGGCGTTGAGCTTCTGCATCGACGAGAAGATGCTGGCCATGGCGGTGGCGTGGTCGACGCACTGGCGCTGGCAGTGCTCGATGAAGCTCTCGTCGAACCTGTCGAGCGTGTCGCCGGGCAGGGCCTCGCGCAGGCCGATGAGACCCAGGCGATAGAGGTCGCAGTGGCACTGGCGCCACCAGACGTGTATCATGACGAAGACGCAGATGCGCGGCGAGTAGGCGCGCAGGCGCAGGGAGTTCTCGGAGAACTGAAACGAGGCGGGTAGGTGGGCGGCGAACTCGTCGAGCTCGTGGTGCAGCGACAGGACGCGCGTCTGCAGGCTGCTGGGGTGGACGTTGCGGTTGGCGACGGCCTCCTTGGTGAACTCGCTGATCTTGTGGCGGATGTACTGGATGCGGATGTGCAGGGCCAGGCTGCCGACGTCCTCGGCGTGGGGGGGCTGCGGGGGCAGCGACGGCGGGCGCTGGTCCGAGTCGGGGATGAGCCCCTCGGTGTCCTGGGGCAGGTCGAACTCGAAGTTGCGCTCGTTGCAGGGTAGGCCGACAAAGATCCTCTCGGCGCGCCAGAGGGAGAAGTCGCGGTGGCCGCCCGAGACGCTCGAGTCGATGGTGTAGATGGCCCACATGAGGCGTCGGCGCGACTCCTGGGCAAGGAAGCAGACGTTGGGGGCCTCGTAGTTGAGGCGCAGGGCGGCGGCGAAGCGGGATGCGATGCCGATGAGCATGAAGGCGCTGGGGAAGCGGTTGGAGAGGATGCGGTGCTTGATCATGAAGACGAGGGCCTGGACCTTGATGGTGGAGGGTCGGGCGTAGTCGGACAGGATGAGGTGCTCGGCCTCGTCGACGCAGCGGGCGCCGTATGCGCGCATGCCGGGCCCCATGTCGGTGAGGCAGGATGTGATGCCGACGAGGGCGAGTAGGAGGGTCTTGTCGACGTTTCCGAGGTGGTACTGCTCGACGAGGGAGGCGCGGTGGAGGAAGGAGAAGGCGGGGATGTGATGGACGTGGCGGAAGAATTTCTCAAAGGTGCGGCCGATGAGGGCGTCAAAGGACTGGTCGGGGATGGACATGTCGTCCTGGTCAGCGTCGGCCATGGAGTGGGTTGGACGGTGCCTGGACATGGAAGACGGGCTGCCGTGGTTGCGGTTGCGATGGTGGTGGTGGTGGTAGGTGTCGTTGGCGGACGAGGGGCCGTCGACGACGAGGTCGGCATAGCCCGGGTCGCTCTCGTTGTGGACGTCGTCGCGGTGATCCTCGTCGTGGCTGAGGGGGCTGTTGCGGCCGGCGCTCAAGCTCTTGTGGGAGACCCTGGCGCGTCTGGTGGGACGGTAGATGCACTCGATACCCTGTGCGCGACATCGGTCGCAGGCGGGCATGTGGCCGGAGCACCTGGCCTTGCGGCTGTGGCAGCTCAGACAAGCCTGCTTGACGCGACGCCTGGGCAGAGCGACGGACCAGGCGGCGGCGGCGGCGGCGGGATCGACGGCATCGTCATCGTACGAGCAGGGGAAACCGAGGCGCTGGCAGTTGGAGCAGAGGGGGCGAGATCCGTTGCAGCGGACTTTGCGTGCGCGGCAAGTTGTGCAAGTGGTGGCGGACTTTTTGGGTTGCCGCGGGGGGGAAGAGTTACCGGGTTGAGAGTTGTCGTGCTGTTGATCTTGGTCATGGTGCCTTTGCTGTTGTTGCTGCTGCTGTTGCTGTTGCTGTTGTTGTTGTTGTTGTTGTTGTTGTTGGTGGTGGTGGTGGGATGACGAGGAGGACTGGGGGGTACCCGCTTGGTCGGGGAGGGAGTGGCTGCTCATGATATCAGTGGCGGGCCCATGTCCATTGTCAGGAGGCTGTCGCTGGCGGTGTTGATTGCTGTTTAGGGCAGAGTTGGGGTTGGACACTGTAGAAGACAAGTCCATCTCGGCTCGCGCATTGGAGCGCGAGATTTTGGCGTGGAAGGAAAGGAGAGATAGAAGGATAGAGAGAAGGTGGGAAAGAGAGAGAAAAGATGATGTGTATGAGAGAGATAGAGAGACAGAGTGTGTGTGTGTGTGTGGAATAGGCGATGGAGCGATAGGGTCGGAGGACCGATTCCGGTAGCGGAAGGAGAAAGGAAGAGACAGGGGGGGATTTTGAAATAAAAATAAAAATAAAATAAAATAGCACACACACACACAAAGTGCTGTCCCAGCAAGGGTAGCGAGTTTAGAGATTATGGGGGGGGGGGGGGGGGGGGGGGGGGAGGGGATATTTGGTTTGATTGACGGGATGAACTGGGTGAAGGGCGAGTGGGGGGAGGAAAGGGGAGAGAAAAAAAGAGAAGGAGAGATGGTAAGATGAGGTGAGGAGAGAGGAAGAGGAGATATAGAGAGAGAGAGAGAGAGAGAGTGTGTGTGTGTGTGTGTGTGTGTGTGTGTGTGGTGACGAGATGAGGAGAAAGAGAAAAGGCGATTATCCGTGAAAAGATGGATGATGGAGGAGTGGACACAAGAGGAGGAGAGGAAGGAGGAGGATAGTGAAGTGTGCACGGGTGAGTGGTACAGGATTGTAATACACTATCACTAGACTCTAGTAATATAATTACATATTTACATATACGGGAGTAAGTATCGATATACCTACTCCGTAGTGGTACAGACAGGCATCAATATATAATGATAATAATACATAAATATTACTCGTAGGTAGAAGGGGGGGGTGGGGGAGGAAGGAGCGACAGAGGGAAAAATTCCTCTTTGGGGAATCACGCAACTACATGTAACATTACAGGAAGGAGCGAAGGAGGAAGGTCCTCAAGAGTTAGGCTTCAGCTGGATAAGGCCCAAGAGGCCCTTGAGAGTAGAGGTAATAGGGTGATATTACTACAGGAGGTATCAGAGAGTAATCTGTATCAGTCCCGTAACCTGTACAGAGCCGGTCATTAGTGCTGATCCCCCCCCCCCCCAAACGATACAGTGGAATGCGCTGTATTTTTTTTTTCTTCTCACTTGTCGACCACGTACGGGGGAGTGCCCTACCCACGGCATGCACATGGTCATCTGCATGTACATACTCTACCCTACCTGTACCTGTACATGTATACGGAGTAGTTGGGTAGATGATGACTGGTAGGTAATAATATATATATATATATAGAGAGAGAGAGAGAGAGAGAGAGAGAGAGAGAGTGAGGGCGAGAGAGAAACTACTGCCAAGTGTATATGTATATCGGGGGGAGGGGGGCCCATGAGCCGGACAGAAGACGTCAATACGTGTACTGCAATACGGGATAAGCATGCAATTGCATCAAGGTAGCATTGCTTCTGTGGAGTAACCAATTCATCTCTACCCATTTTTCTACCTATAGAAGCCTGTGCACCATCGCCGAGTACGACCATTACAGGCCTTGATCCTGCAGCTTGCAGCCGGCAGCAAAAAAGAAGGACCTCGTCTCTCTCGTCGTTTCATGGCCCCAAGCCATGACCGTGCGGTACCCGCCCCGATGGCCCGAAGGCCTATACAGTGGGAGCAGGATGATGATGCACTATACCGTGTGCTGCTGCTCATGGTCCGTATGGCTACGAGTACTCTCTGTACAATATCAGCAATTGAGGCATTGCTGGTATTGTAACACTCTTCCTCTCCTCTTTCTTTCCTCTTTCCTCTTTCCTCTACTACTGTCAAACTCGTCACTTCCATCAGCACACAAGAAAAGAATGGAGATGAAAGAATGAAGGAAGGAAAGAGAATAAAACACGGTATTATCCCTTGTAATCTCCCTCCCCCCCCCCCCCCCCCAATCGGCTCCGTGACCCGGCGGCGGAGGCGGTGACGAAGCGGATGCCGAGGGCGCCGACCTCAGCCGGATCCGCAGCTCTCTCTCTTCCCTACGAGCGATACACTACGATGCGCACAGACTATCCTATAGCAGACATGTCTCTCGTATTCTTCACATTCTTATACTCTCTCCCTCTCTCTCTCTCTCTTCACCTGCTCCTCCCCCCAACGCCATCTCTCATGCATACATGTACATACCACACACATCATCCATCCCTCAGATCTACGCCCCACGGCTCTTTCGGAACTCGGATACGACAGGCCCCCGCAGTGACTTGTCCCCGCATTATACGCATCTAATCCCTCGTTACCTCCCCCCTCCAGAGCATCGGATCCCTGGACCCACAGTAGCCGACATCCGCCCCGATACCCGCCATATTACCATCGAACATTGCCGGTTGCCCAGCGATCCGTCATTTTKTYTRTYTTTTTTTTTTTTTTTTTTTTTTCCCCCCTCCTTTTTCCATCTTCATTTTCCCAGTTCTGTTCTCTTGTGTAGGATATGTCTGTGTGTGTGTCAGATCTTCCCTCCATCTTGACACACCTATCCGTATCCGACTACATGTACTCCGTACGTGCTCCGTATCTAGAATCTCTCGGGGTCCTCGGTGATTGTATCGGTAGGCTGTGACATGGTCAACCTTGCTGTACATGGTATCGCTTACCGGTTGCAGATGGTAATTCCATTCGTTCATTGCTATCAAAAAGGTGTAAGGTGTAGCATAGTTGACACCTGGACACCACACACCACACACCACACACCACACACCCCCTCCTCCGTCATAACCGCATCATCCATGATGTAGAGTCTCTGGTGGCAAATCATCACATCCAACAGTCTTGCATCGACTCTTGGTACATATATCATTGACCCTTGATACATGTGTATTCATTGCTATTGCTATGTGCCGAGTATCAAGGCTATACCCGTAGATACCAACTGCAAAAAAGACAAGAACGAATGCTTGTATTTCAAGAGAGAGAGAGAGAGAGGAGGAGGAGAAGAAGAGAGAAGAGAAGAAGAAGAGAGAAAAGAAGAAGAAGAAGAAGAAGAAATCGTGGCCTGCTGACCTCTGACCATTGTGGAACGCAATACCCGCCCATTATACCCGACGACCCGCCGCCACGTCGGCATCGTCGCCCCTACGCCACAATCTTCAGCTATGCAACCAGGCCCGACGTCCCGAAAACCCAGATGACCTTTCTCGGGTAGGCCCGGCGGTCTAGGAGGAAGGGGAGGGGGGGGAGAAGCAAAAGAATGAAAAAAAAAAAATGAAAAAAAGGTTCTAGGCGATTTGGCAAGACCCGACGGGACGCCGAATATCATCGGTACCGTACTCTCTTCTTATACTACTCGTACGAGTCAAAGGAGTTGCGGAGAGTAAAGAACGGGTCCCTGTCATCTTTTGCCATTGCCCCCTAATTCACATGTGAAACAAGGAGTTTTACAAGGAATGATGAATTTACTTTGACTTGTTTTTTAAACCTTTTTTTTTTTTTTGAAAGAAAAAAAAAAAAAAAAGGGGGGGGGGGGGGGGGGGAAAAAAAAAAAAAAAAAAAAAAAGGGGGGGGGGGGGGGGGGGGACAAAGAAAAAAGAAAAAAAGAGAGGTGATGCCAAACATCACCAGGCCATCTAGGACAAGCACTAAGCAAGAAACAACCCCCAACCCCCAACCCCCAACCTCCCAGTGTATTAATGTGTAACGTATCCTGTATGAATTCAGGAAAACGAAGAAAATCAGAGCAAAAGCAAAAATTAGTTGAATTATTTCCTCTTTCACGCTTCGGTATCGAGACGAGCAAACATCTACGCTCCGAACGGGACCGACCCACAACCTCCCCTCCTCGACCTCTCCGACAACATCACGGCCTTACAGTCACGCCTTAGCGGCAGACGTAGCGGCGGGCGTATCGACAGGTTTTCCTGTGGGTGCATCGCCAGACGCATCGCCAGCTACATCCCCAGACGCCTCGGCAGATTGCGGTGGCTTCGGCGTCGTCGTCGTCGTCATCGTCGTCGTCGTCGTCGTCGTATCCTGCACACTGCCCTCATCATCCTTCTTCTTCTTCTCCTTCTTCTTCTCCTTCTTCTTCTCCTTCTTCTTCTCCTTTGTCTTGCCGTCATTCTTCTTCTCGAGGAGATAATCGCCACCGGTCCAGGCGCAATAGACGCCGTAGAGACCCCTGATGGGCCAGATCTTCCACAGCAAGGCCTTGACCGGCCTGTCGGCCAGCGCGGCCTCCTCGGCCTGGTAGTCGACGCGGACCTTTTGGTAGACGGAGGGGAGGTCGTGGGCGCCGTAGCGCACGCGCACGGCGTCGTAGGCGTCGCGGTCGTAGTGGGACCAGAACTCCTGCTCGGTGTAGTAGGCGTGGCTGTAGAGCCACTTCTTGCCTTGGCACTGCTGCACCTTGTGCTCGAGGAGCCGGTTCTTGCGCACGATGTCGGCCCGCGTCCCCGACACGGGACCCCACACGCCGTAGTTGAGCAGCGTCTCCGGCGTCTTGGTCGGGTCGGCGAACTGGGCGTGCAGCCCGTGGGCCGAGTCGGCCGCGTCGCGGCGGATGCGCAGCGGGCACAGCCAGAGCGGGTAGATGGCGTAGGTCTCGTCGAGCCAACGGTGGAAATCCGGGGCCTGGCCGTACGGAACGCCCACGTCCTGGATCACGTACATGTCGTGCATGCCGCTCTTGTGCATGGCGTGGTACATGACCGACGTGTGCATGAAGTGGTCCAGCAGCCCGCGCGTCAGCCGGTTGAACGGCGTGAGAAAGTAGCCGAAGGCGTACCGGGCCATCCAGAACCCGCCGCGGTTATACCGGAACAGGTAGTCGCGTATGGGGATGTAGTCGACCACCTCTTCCTGTACCCCGTCCTTGTCGGAGGTGCCGGTGCCGGCAGCGGCGGCAGCAGCAGCCTTCTTGGCAGCAGACCTGACGAGCCTCTTCTCGGCATCCCGCGCGCGGAGGTAGAACCAAGGGTCGAAGCGGCGGGTGAAGCCCACCGCCTTCCTTCCCGGCGGCACCTCGTCGGCGAAGCGGCCGGAGCAGATGACGGTGGAGTCGCGGGCGTAGACGATGCCGTCGAGGAACTCGACGTCGGGCTTGGCGGCCTCGACGGCGATGCGGTCGACGTACTCCTCCGGCGTGGCGCAGTGGAGGTAGCGCATCTCCACGTAGGGCTTGACCGGCCGCAGCTGGACCTCGACCAGGGTGACGACGCCGATCGTGCCAAAGGCCGAGGCGGCGCCCCAGAGCAGGTCGGGCCTCTCGGTGCGCGACGCCGTCGTCACCGTCCCGTCGGCCAGGACCACCTCGATACTCTCGACCGTGGCCTCGAAGGCGCCGTGCCGGAAGGAGCTGCTCTCGCCCGAGCTGCCGGAGAAGCCGCCGCCGACGGTGATGGTGGGGAACTCCATCACCACCGGCGGCGCCAGCCCGTGCTTGAGCGTCGCCTCCAGCAGCTGGCCCAGCGGCACGTTGGGCTCCGACAGCGCCGTCCGCTTCTCCACGTCCACCCACAGCACCTTGTTCAGCTGGCTCGTGTCCACCGTGTTGTCCGCCCGCCGGTGCGACTGACGCGTGCTGTTGGTCGACCCGTGGTAGATCCGGAAGGCCTGCTTGGTCTCGTGGAAGTGCTTGACCCGCTCGGATACCCCGGCTACCAGGGCCTTGTGAGCTTCCATCGTCCTTCTTCTGCCGTCGATATCGTCAGCTCTCTTTCCTGCCGGTAGGTGGGGAAATGATTGATGGCGTGAGGAGAAGAATCGGGACAGAGGGAGGTGGATGACGAGGTCCGGAGAGGTCAACGGGAAGAACTCACCGCAAGAAGTACTCGCGAGGCTGTGAGGAGGGCGAGTCGTCGCCGGTGGTCTGTCTGTGAATGTGCCAAGGTACGCGCGTCTGGGTGCGGCTTGGTGGTACATGCAGTGACGCGATCCGTCAAATAAAGTAGTATTACGTACTCCGTACTAGTATTTTAATATAAGCAATAGACCTGGGCATACCGGTCTCGGTCTACACAGCCACCCCATTCGCTCTGCATCACTTTATACGATCGAAGATGGACAGCATCATGGCATTGAATGACTCGGTGCTGGAAGGAGAAGAAGAAAGCTGCAAACGCCAATGTACACACACACCCACACATTAAAATCTTTTCTATTTAATTCCCAGCCGTTCACCCCATCACCTCCTCCTTCCGTTGGACCCCTGCTTCGGCTGGCTACCGTACGCTCTCCTCCCCTGCACCTTGTTCCTCCCCATGCTCTGGCCGAGTGTGATGTCGACGCGCGGCGGGGTGGTGAAGCCGAAGCTCTTGGCCACCTTGGCCAGGTCCAGCTTGGTCACGTCGTAGACGGACCGCAGGCTGTGACTGGCGTAGGCGTGCAGGTACGACTTGAAGGCCTCCTTTGCGCTCTGCGAAAGGAAGTAGTTCTGCCCAATCAGCTTCTCCAGCTGAGACTGTACCGGCTTGATCTTCTTGGCCGGGAACTCAAACTCGACGACGGGGACGCGAGCCGCCTTGAGGTGAGTCAGGAAGCCGACCTCGTTGGGCTGGTCGGGTCAGTATCTTTTCTGTTTCGCATGACAAAAAGAGGAGGGAAGGAGGGGGGGGAAGGAGTGTCCTGGTGATGAATTACCTGGAGAAACAGGAGACTGCGTCCCTTGCTGTTGGCACGGGCCGTACGACCGACGCGGTGAATGTAGTCGGTCGAGTTGTCCGGGGGGTCAAACTGGACAATGAAGTCGACGGCGGGGATCTGTATCGGTGTACGTCAGCGATTTTTATCATCGAGATGGATGAAGAGAGAGAGAGAGAGAGAGAGAGAGAGAGAGAGAGAGAGAGAGAGAGGGAGGGAGGGAGAGATGAAACATACATCAAGACCACGGGCAGCAACATCAGTGCAGATGAGGATACCATGAGAAGCATTGCTAAACTCGAAAAAGGTGTTTGTGCGCTTCTGCTGCTTCTGCTTTCCGTGCAGGTCCAGCACGGGGAGATCAATGTAGTTGAGCAGTTCGGCGTAGTACTTGACCGAGTTGCAGCTGCTGAAGAAGACGATGACCTTCTTCTTCTTGTCCTTCATCGTCTTGAGAAAGGAGAAGAGCAGGACGAATCGCTTGTCGGCCTCGCAGATGACGTACCCTTGCTCCAGGCCCTCGACGGTGCTGAACTGCTGTTCCTCGTCGACGTTGATGTACAAGGGGCCGGGACGGAGAGAGATTCGGGCGAGGTCCTCTTTTATTTAGGAAGAAGAGAAATAGTCAGAATATATTTATAATGATTGTATTATGATGGAGTGGGGGGGACAAAGAAAAGAAGAGAAAAACCATCAAGCGAGCAGAGAGTACATACCAACTTTGGTCGTCTGGGTGGCAGAGAACAGCATAGTCTGACGATTCTTCTGCTTGTCCGCCGGCTTGAGGATGTCGACAATCTTCCTCATCTCGTCCTCGAATCCGACCTCGAGGATGCGGTCTGCCTCGTCGATGATGAGGGAGCGCAGGTTCTTGAAGACGAAGGGCGTGTTCATCAGGTGGTCGAGCAGACGTCCGGGCGTGGCGATGAGCAGGTTGACGCCCTTGGACAGCTTCTCGGCCTCGGCATTTCGGTTGGCGCCGCCGATGACGATGCCGTACGTCTGCGAGTGGTTCTTCATCAGCTCGCGCGCCACGCCGAAGATCTGAAGCGCCAGCTCGCGCGTCGGCGACACCACGATGGCCCCCGTCCCGTTGCGAGGCTTGAACCTCAGCGAGCATAGCATCTCCACCACCGGAACGAGGAAGGCCATCGTCTTTCCGGATCCCGTCTTGGCCGCTCCGAGAACGTCCTTTCCGGCCAGAAGTGGGGGTATTGCCTATAGATGATACATCATCGTCTGTCAGTCTGTCTTGTCGGATACGAGTCTCCTCATCCCCTAGCACACACGCAGACACGCGCACACTTATATGAATATATATATATATGTGTGTGTGTGTGTGTGTGTGTGTGTGTAGTCAATTCAGAAAGATGACTGAGAAGAAAAACGTACGCTGCGCTGAATCTTGGTCATCTTCGTAAATCCCATCTCCCGGATGGCACTCATCGTCTTATCCGACAGGTTGAGGTCCTCGAATTTCTCGGCGTCGTTGGCAGGCGGTAATAGAGAGTCGGAGCCGCCGTTGTGGGGGAGAGCCTCGTCATCATCATTTTCAGCATCCTTCTTCTCGACACCCTCCTCTCTGCCTTCCTCCTCTTCCTCTCCCTCCTCTTCCTCGTCGTCGTTGTCGCTGGGAGGCTCAACCGGTGGCGCGGGGCTCTTGGCCTTCTTGGACTTTTTGGTGGTGGTGGCGACGATGGACTCGGTAGGAGCGGCGTCGGCGTCGGCATCGTCGCGAAGCTTTCGCTTCTTGTTTGAGGTAGACAATCCCATTGTTCGTTTCCTTTACTTGGTCCGTACGCCTTGTTACGTCGATGTTTTACCACTCTATGGCGGAAGAAAGAAGGAAGAGAAAAGGTTCCTAGTCAGAATCAAAAAGAGAAGAAAAGAAAAGAAAAAAAGAAAAAAAGTTGCAGTCAGCCATGCGATTGCTCCACTTATTACTTATCGATAAACATCCGCTTGAAAGATTCCCCACTCCAACTTTTTCTCCTGTCATCATCATATGTCAAATGTCAATAAGAGCGATTCTTCAATTGCCATCTCTTCTTTTCTTCCCATTGAGATCGCCTTTTCTCTTCTTTATCTCGGTAGAGATTCAAATCATGACTAGTAATATGGGCCAACCAAATGTTTCATGACAGCACACACACAACATGTCCCTGTGGCTCATCGATAGCTAATCCCTTACCCGGTAGCTATCATCGAGGAGGAGGCCTGGCCACTACCTTCTAGCCACCCGGTGAACTATGTCGAGTCTAGCAGCTGTCGGCCCGTGCCTCTTTGACGGCGAGAGTTGTGGTCGCTGTGATGTTGACCTCCCACAAGGGCGAGTTTATCACGGGGGGGGGGAGGGAGATGTCTTTACCCTGAGACTAAAATTTTGTTCGAGTCCGATGAACAAACGTCTGACAAGCCTGCAGGTATTAATATATACAATCTTTCAAGCAGAAGTCAGAGAGAGCCAAAGCATGTATTGATAGCTATGTACTAAACCGGTTCTCTCTTTCTTTCCTTCAGTTTCCAATATATGGATTTTATATACTTGTATTTTTCCCCCCCTCTCATGAGGGCATGCCCGTATTACTATTATATCCAAAAGGAGAGTGTAATATATGTAAGGTGGATCAGAAAAGACAGATTCCAGAGCGATATCCTCCTCCTCCTTCTCCTCCTCCTAGGGTCTCAGACAATGCTGAGCTTCAAAACCCATGTCTTGTTGCAGATTCCGTCATTCCCACTTGCTTCTCCTCCTCTTTGAGAAATGGGGGGAACATGAAGAGTATGAGGGTATTCCCCTCTTAAGGGAGAGCCTGGACAGGGTAGCTCTGGTCAGGCTTGACAACCGTTCCGGCAGCGAGCTGGTTGTCAGTGTAGGCCGGCCAGGCGATCGTCTTGGCGGCGTAGTCGACGACGCTGAGAGTGGTGAAGCCCTGGCCCTCGCCGAACTGGCCGCTCCAGGCCGAGGTGACGCTGTAGGCACCGCAGGCGACGCCGGTCTGCGAGGTGCGGCTGGCGGGGGCGTCTCCCGTCTTCTTGACGGTGTAGGCGCACTTGGTGATCTTGTCGGCGTCCTTGATGCCGAACGACCAGTCGCAAGACGTGTCGGCCTCGTTGCAGACGCGCTTGAAGTCGGTGATGGTCCAGGTGGCTGCCGTGGACATGGACTTGACCTCCGAGGTGGCGGGGGCAGCAGCGGCCGTCGAGGCGAGGACGGCCGTGAGGAGGGCGGTGGCGGAGAACTTCATTTTTTATAATCTGAAAGTAGTTTGATGTGTGTGTGTGTGTGTGTGTGTGTGTGTGTATGTGGTACTGTAAGAGATGGATATGTAGATGATCGAGCGCTGATGAGAAGAATAAGGATACGAAGAAGAAGAGGAATTGTGATCTCAAGAGAGGTCGGACCATGGTATCGTCTTTATACTCGTCAGACTCAGTGCCTCTCTCTCTCTCTCTCCCTCTCTTTCTCTCTATTCTTCTCTTCCTCTCTATGCTGTCCGCACGAAGAGAGACAGGCATCAACCCCCTCGTAAAAAACCCCGGGTATTGACTGTGAATCGAGGACCCTTGTGGAATCGAACGTTGCAGCCAAATTGGGTCCCACGTTTTCCCCCATCATAGACACAACAAGCGGCACGGCCAAGAACCGCCTCGTATTCCCATCCCGCCCCTAAGCCGATCCGCGGCAACAGCCCCGTCCTCGGTTAACTGGATTGTTCGAGTTGGGAGCGGCAAGATCAACATACCTCTTGTAGTGAGCAATACGGTAGTACCAATCGACAGACGGAACCACACAGACACACACTTCATCCTCTCCCCCCTACGCGAGTTATGGCCTAGTCTACTACGGCACGTATATAGGGCCAGCTGACCTCTCAAAATTTTTCTTGGTTTTATTTCTGTTTTCTTCTCTTGTCCCTTTCTTTCCTAGTGTCCGGCTCTTAGTTTCTGACCAGGTCAGGACGATGACCCGAGCATCGAAAGTTGTGAATAGTCTGACTACTCTGCAAGCCGGAGTGCCGCACGCCAGGCCTTGCCTAGCCCGTCTTCCTCGTATTTCTGAACCCAATTGTTGTTACTAATAGACGGTTTACGATGGAACTTTGGGAGAGAGTAGAAGAGGAGCGGGGCGGGACTCTGACCATGTATACCTACTAGTATGTAGTTTGTCGTATTCGATATCATTACTACGCCGTTGTCTCTGTATGCATGTTGTCTTCGTAAATACGGAGTATTCATATTGATATTCGTATGATGTCTAGCATTACAGGTATTACCCCACATCTTCAACCGAGAAGAGGGAGCATATCGTTGCTATATACTACCTAGTATTATTACATGTAAAGGCAGTAGTATCGCGATTTGCAAGCTGCATATGATACTCACATAACACATCTCAACTAAGAAGAGACGAGAGTGTAGCAGAGAAATAGGGGAACAGCAACCTGGTAACTGCATACCGTAGATCAGTATGTAGAAGAGCAGAGAGAAAGGTGGCCAGCTGGGAAATTCGATTCATGCTCACCTTATTCGCATAACTCTCACAACTCTACGGCTCTACTCTACCAAGCTACGGCACACTCCTAGACCTTGGCACCGATCCGTGCTTCCCCTCTGGGTCTAAGGACAGGCTCGGTCCTTGACTCCTTGGGTCTTGGGTCTTGGACCTTGTCCGGTATACCGTATGATGCCCGCCCAAGGTCCCAAGGTATTCATCAATACTGACTAGACTAGCAACCCCGCGCATGTCAATCCTTCCGAGTCCCGGCAAGTATTAATAGCAACAACTGATCAGAGTTGGCAGCTAAGCAACACGAGCTTACGGGTACACGTATCCGCAAGAGCTCCTCACCTTTCTTCTACTCGTACCTGTGTACAGATTACAGATTGCTCCGTACTCTATAATTAATGCCCACTGCTAATAATACTACGTAGTAGTACTGCTCCGTACCTGTACCTCTTACTTTGCCAAAGAAAGTCCGAGTACGATGCATTTATTTCTATTCCAGTAAGAAACTCCGTATACTCGGAAACCCTTTTCACCGCATGTCCTATGGATATAGGTGCGATTCCTGCTTTCCCCCTTTCTCCCGTATCGTCAAGGACTCCATAGTTGACCCGTACGAGAGTGTAATCGGTACGTGTATTATTAACCCCATAAGAGATGTAACCAAGTATATTCGCCCGGAAGAAAGCGGCTCCTCGCATAGTATTACGAGGTAGCAGACCTGCATTGCACGCATGTCCCAGACAATGCAGAAGAGGCGAGAAGCAGACAAGAAGAAGAGAAGCGGACCATCGGTTAACGGGCCGTTTTCTTCCCAACTTGCCAACCTTTTACGAGTATTACAGCTTATAATATATCCTTGCTTCGCTTACCTTGGCCCGAGGGTTCCGATGCGAGAGGTCCTCGTATCGATACCTTCAATCCGTATCATTATTCCGCTCTGTGGACCTCACAAACAAGGGCTAGGGGTCTAGATCTATCGGCCATTGCGTTGGCGATAAGCGCTCCGGAATTATCTCTCTTCCCCTCTCCTTCTCATCATTTCCATGCCTCATCGTTGCCTGATCTAATCAAGGGAATTGCACTTTCATGGCCTGATTCGAACAAGCAGAGGGGTCCTATTCAGAGCTTCCCATGAAGTCGCCTTACATTCAACGGACAGCCATCGCAGGTACTTCTCCGTACATGTATTACATGTAAAAAGAAAAGAAAGAAAAAAGAGAAAGAAAAAAACATCAGATGATTATTTTGCCAGTGTCTGCTACGACGTAACATCCACCCAACCACCTGTTCCCCCCCTCCCCCCCTCTTTTCAGGTGTTGTGACCTTACTTCCATGACGTTTACTTGACAACACAAAGGCGACCCAGTCGGTCGACAAACAAAAAGGAAAAAGAAAGAAAAAAGAAAGAGCGAAAAAAAAAGGGCAAAGAACCGAGGAAAAAAGAATCGGCTACAGCCTGCTCCGACTGTTAAGGTACTGGGCCCCCAGCTTGAGCATGTCTGTCGCCTCCCGCACCATGTCCCTGACAATGTCACCGGCGGGCTGTATCTCGTGGATGGACCCGGCGACCTGACCCATGATGTGAGGCACGTCAATGTCGTTCCCCTGGTCGATGTCGTGCTCGATGGGCACGGTGCCGGCGGCGCACAGCCTGGCCAGCTCGTCGGGGCGGTCGTGCCAGGCGCGGATGTAGTCGTTGGACTTCATGCGCAGCGGCCGTCCCGAGAGGACGAGGGTCCGCTCGGTGTCGTCGAAGCCGCAGCTGACGACCTCTCGCTTGTGCTGCTCGCTGCACCCGGCCTCCACGGAGGCGACGAACCGGGTGCCCACCCAGACGCCCGCGGCGCCCTGCATGAGCGACGCCGCGAGCGCGCGCCCGTTGGAGATGCCCCCCGCCGCCAGCACGAGGGCGTGCTGCTGGCCGCCCAGCATCGCCGGCCGGTACCGGCGCGCCACGTCGACCACGGCCGGGATCAGCACCGTCGTCGCCACGTCGCCCGTGTGCCCGCCGCCCTCGCCGCCCTGCGCCGCCACCATGTCCACGCCCATGTCGAGCGCCTTGACGGCGTGCCTCGGGTGCCCGACCATGTTCATCACCAGGATGCCGGCCGCGTGCAGCCGATCGATGATGTGCCGCGGCGGCACCCCCACCGCGCTGACGAACAGCCGCGCCCCGCTCGAGATGGTGATGTCGATCAGCTCCTCCAGCTTGCCGTTGGTGTAGTCGTGGTTGGTCTTGCGCGCGTTCCCGCCCACCTGCGGCAGGGCCAGGTCCACGCCGAACGGCAGGTCCGGCCGCTCAAAGTTGGCCTTCATCTCCGCAATGATCTCCCGCAGCTGGTCGGGCGTGTACTTGAAGCCGCCGATGACGCCTAGGCCGCCCGCGTTCGACACTGCAGCCGCCAGCGGCCCGCCTGATGTCCGTGCCATACCCGCCAGCACAATCGGGTGCTCTATCCCCAGCAGCGTCGTGAGCGGCGTCGTGATGGGGCCGGTATGTGCCATCGTGAGCATGTCAGGTAGTCGTAGCACCGATTCTTCTCTCCTTGGCCTTCTTTTCTTCCCTCCTCAAATATAATGTGAACGATAGATGAATTGCATCAATGAGACGAATGGCTCAAAATATTAGAAAAAAAGTCCCACGGTATCATGATATGATACAGAAACAACAACAAGCTACAGCCCTCGTCGACAGAGGAAATCTCTCACTCATATAGCTCTCTTCCCCAGCTGTTGGGGCCGATATGCGGAGATCATAATCCAAGCAAACCGCGGGGGAACCAGCCCCCGACGGCAAATCGACTTGGCGGGGGTGTCCCGGAACCCACCGAGGCATTACCGAATCGGGGCACCATCTCGCAAGATGCATGTACAATCCAGCTTGTCTCTTATGTTGGGATCGTCATCATCACTAGAAACCGAGGCACGTTTTAAGTTGCTAAGGGGTTGATGATTATCCCCAACGTCTTGTTGGCATCTGTGTATTGTCATCGATCATACCTCTTCATCATCAATATCTTGTAATTGGTCCTCTACATATCATTAGGCATGTCTATTACAACCCAAAAGAAGAAAAAAATAGTACAGATTTTGTCATGTCGCAAAGTACATACATAAACATAATGTGTGTATGAGATGGAGTCTTTACGCTTCCCCCCCCCCCCCCCCCGCAAAAGAAAACGCCCGAGCTAGATGCAGCAAAGAAGAAAGCATTTTATAGTCATCTCAGCCGAAGAAGGGCAGTCGCGCAGGCACGAAATTATCGCCAGGGCGTTGATCATGGCCAGATGGCTGTGGTCGTCCTTGTTCTTGTTGTCGCTGTTGTTGTCGTTGTTGTTGTTGTTGTTGTTGTTGTTGTTGTTGCGATGCAGGCGGCGGCTCATCATCATCACGGTAATAATTTGTAGTGTCAAACTCGTCGTCGTCGTACTCGTCATCCTCATCGTCGCCATCCACCGCAGTCTCGAATTTGGGCTCGTCAGACTGTCGACTCTGCGTATTCAGTCCCTTGGCCTCTGTCAGCTGTGCCGCCGCCTCCTTCTGTCTGGCCAGCTTCTCTTCCTCTTCGCGGTGCAGCTCTTCCTCCTCCACATCTGGGTCATCCTGCGTGAACGCAGGCGTGTGGCCTGCCACGGACGGCACCGAGCCCGTGGATGCCCGTAGCACCCAGAGCGATTCGCGGGAGCCCATGGAACCTATGGTGGTGCGGGAAACAGTCCTAGAGACGCCATTCATGGCGGGGCCCTTGCCCTTGCTACTGCGTGTGGTCTTCCCACTGCTCCGGTCGTCTTTGCGGATCATGTCGTACGTGACTTCATCGTCGAGCGGTATCGCGTCCTCCTCTCCCTCGCCGTCGCTCGGGAGCAGGTCGCCCCGTGAGCGGTACGAGTCCGACGTGTCGCCGGATCCTGTCGTGCCGCTACGTTTGCGCAGTGACTGAGGCGAATGATTTTGCTGGTTATGTTGGTCGTCGCTGTCGTCGGCGTCGCTGTCGTCGGCATGCATGTTACCGGATCCGCCTCCGCCTCCCAGAAGGGGCGTCGACTCGGCGTCGTCGTGCTTCCCCGGGTGGTCCTGGAGATCTGCCGCACTCGGCTTGTAGCGCAGAGTGCCACCCATCCTCCAGGGAAGTTTGCTGAGTAGGCCGATGGGCTGTGTGCTGGGGATGATGGTCGAGTCCTGGCCGATCGTCGTCTTGCGCCGGCCACGACCGCCGCGGGTGCCGTAGCTCATGCCCCGTTTCCGTCGTGGCTGACTGTCCGTCACGCCTTCACCCGACGCCTTCTTCCTCTGGGTGCCGCTGCCACTCCCCGTACCGGCCAGCAGCCTGTCCCAGTCCTCGCCGCCCCAGCCGCCGAGCAGGCCGCCGCGTTGCTCCTCCTCCTCGTACCAGTCGTCGTAAAAGTCAAACATGTTCTCGGCACGCGACCGTGACCGTTCGCGCTGCCGTCGCCGCCGCTCCTCGACGTCTCCCAGACATACCGCCGTGCACTTCTCGACCGATCGGGCCAGCGATCCCAGGCAGGGGTTCACATAGTGCTGCTGGAAGGACCAGATGCCCGCGGCGGCATTCTCCGTCGCCGTCTCGGCATCGTGGGTGATTTGGTTCCAGCGCTGTCGTAATCGGGGGTCCTCGAGAAAAGCCATGATGATCGGACGGTTGTGTGCTGTGCGCACGGCGCCCGTCTTCTGTCGGTGTCGACGCCGCACTTTTGCTAGGCGCCACTATCGTGTTACGGATATTCTCTCTCTCTCTCTCTCTCTCTCTCTCTCTGTCTCTCTGTCTCTCTCTGACTATTTGACCATATCAGCCAGGAGAGATGGTTGAGTTTTCCTCGCAGTCGCTTATCACCGTTCGTGTTGCTTCCTACTTGTCACCGCGAAAGGACGTGTTGTGATATGGGAAATGACGAGGTTGGTGGGATTGGGAGTGGAGGCCATGATGTGGTTGGGGACAATCTTCTGACACGGTGGAGTGGGGGAGGAAACGTAGAAGAGAGTGCCGGGGTTGCTTGGGGCGGGAAGCTGCCTGGGAGCCGTCTCTTAGCGTTCTGGCCGTATGTTACAGCGCATGCACAGCGCCAAATCTTCCGTCCAGGGTATCACGTCACCACCATGATGACCGCGACTATGACGACGACTGACTTCCAACCTACTTCAGCCTTTTTTTTTTTCCCTTGCTATTACTATTTGTGTGAATGGATGGTAGTGCTTTTTATCAATCGAATCAATCATCGAAATCTTGGTGTTATAATCTACTCGTAATCGGATAATAATACGAATGTTTTAGTCATTTCCGAGGTGCCCTCATGTTGGCAAGAATCCTAGCCAGCAACTCCTTTCTCGATGCCGTCTCACTGGGAAACAGATTCCTCTGTCACAGGAGAAGAGTGTGAGAAATACTGTATCATGCGCTGCAGGGCCCCCCTCCCGGACCGATCAGTCACTCACCTTTCTCAGCCATCGACGCATCTCCTCTTCCGTCCAATCTTCGGGCTTTCCCGTAGGGTCAGACTCGGCGGGGAACATGTCGCCGCCCCAGATGGACCAGACTCCTGTGGCCACAATGGCGCCGCCAAAGGCTTGTTCCCTCACATGTCAGCCTTTTGTACATGCAGTGAGACATCGGTAGGATTATAGCGCTTACCCAGGAGCATGTTCTTTGGAAGGGTAAAAAAAAGAAAAGTTGTCAGCGTAGATAAGTCTCTGCATATGGCGGGGGATCAACGTACCTTGGATTTCATCGCGTTGTCCAACGGTGTAGGCATCTTGACGGAGAGACGGGACACGATTGCAGATGAAGCAACGACCGTTGTGGATATTTCTGTTCAAAGTATCAGCTTATGACAGAGAGGGGAACTCAATCGGCTCTATCTTATAGAGTATGGTTAATCTACCGGAGATGTGTCCTCTAGTTCACCTCACATGAGATCTAGTCTTTCGGGTTCAAATGGTGGTGGTGGTGGCACCATCATCCTCGAGACAGTGTGACGTATTATGTGACCCTTGTCTCTCAGCAGAGGTGTGGCTAAATATGTGGCTCAGCAAAATCTCATCAGCCACAAAGGACGGGACAGAGATAATTATGTGGCTGAAGACGTTAGGAGGGGTCTGGGGGGGGGAGGAAGCCCCCTCCTAACGCACACACAACGAATATTTGGCCTGTGCGGGTCCCGCGCCAAAACGGGTAACGCAGACGCACAAAATCAAAACGTCTGAGTAGAAAATAAATCCACGCCTAACACCCGCTCAACCCGATTCCCATCACGACAATTTGTTCAATTCCCACCCTCCATCAATCCCATTGAACAACCGCCAAAATGCCTCGGGAGGTCGCTGATATTAAGAAGGTGAGATACTGTTTATAATCGAACCTCTACTTTCATTCGGTCTCTGATGGCTAACGCTCACTCAAACAGTTCATCGAGATCTGCCGTCGGAAGGACGCTTCTTGTATGTCAAAACAAATAAAAAAATCTCCTCCTTTCATGAACCCCGAACAACAAGACAGCAACATGCGCACGGCTCCTCTCCTCAATCTAGAAATGGAATAGGGGGAGAAAAGGGGGATGGCCGTGTGCATAGTTGCTCTCCCCTTTCTCCCAACACGAACGCCACGCGATCAAACAAGAGAGGGAAAAAGATGTGTACTGACTGTCCTAATTTCAGCCGCCCGGATCAAGAAGAACAAGCAGGTCGGCAACGTCAAGTTCAAGGTCCGCTGCCAGAAGCACCTGTACACCCTGGTAGTCAAGGACTCTGACAAGGCCGAGAAGCTCAAGCAGAGCCTCCCTCCTAGTGCGTTTTTCTCTCCCTTACTTCTCGCTTCGCCCGATTCTTCCTGCCCCCCGACCAGAACCTTGCTAACCAGTCCCCCCCCCCTCCAACAGCCCTGACCATCACCGACGTCCCCAACAAGAACTAAGCGGAAAAAAAAGAAGATAAGAAACTGAAATTCTTGGGAGGGTCAAAATGAGAGAAAAAAGGAACGGATCATGACATACAAACCAGGATGGGATTCATGAGGATGCACGGGGTGGTAGAATCATTCTTGTCGTGCTAGGGTCACGTACCGTGCCACACGAAATCTGGGCGTCTCGGGAATTTTAACCTTGCATTTCATGTGCTGAAAAGGCCATGGCTTGTTTTAACAAAGATAAAAAAAACGAAATCTATAAGGGGAATCCCTCCCAGACTCTTCAAAAAAAAAAACGTGAAACCATCCTATCATTCTTTCCTTGCTTCCTGACTCCTGCACACCAAAGCTCGAAGAAAAGGTCGAATAAAATATGTGCTGTGGCGTTCATGTTCCATCCTTTGAAATGATCTAACTGCTTCCCTCGTCGTCATCCTCCTCTCCTCCTCCAACAATGACCGGGTTTGGAACCGTGATTGGGTTAAAGAGGAATGATTGCTTGGTCCGGCCGATTCCGAAATCATACTCCCTCTCCGAAAAGATGATCAGTTCCTCTATCTCTTCGTCGTGTTCGGCCCCGCTGGAATCCTTGACGGTCCATCCGGCCCATACTTGGTCACCCGCCTCCTTAGCCGCGGCGATGAGCTCCTCCAGGACACGCTGCGCCGCATCCTTGTCCGCCCTGTCGACGAGTCTCTTCTCAACATGGAAGGCTTTCTTGAAGGTCGGCGGCCTGCTGCTGCAGCTGCTACTGCGAGGCGTGGTGGCGGTACCAGAGGGCACGACATGGCACACGCTGACGGCGTCAGCGTCGGGTGAGAGGTGACACTCGTAGAAGCCTGAGAATGTGGTCTTGTTCTCGTCGCTCTTGAGCCACTCCCCATGAGTCTCGGGGGAGTCCCACGGTGCGGTGACGAGGAGGTAGGCCGGGTCCGTGTGCGTCATGTACAGGCTGCTCAGGTTCTCCTGGTCGTGGCGCACCTTGTGCTGATACCTCTTGCCCCGGAGGAGGTGAGGCTGGTGGCACCGTACCCAGTCGTCCTGGGCGTCGAGGCCCTCCATCAGCTGCTCGTACAGGTCTAGTTCGTTGAAGCCCTGACGGAGCTTGATGACGGCGCATTCGACGACGGGCATTTTGGGTGGTGATGGCGGCCCGTTGCGGCCGTTGAGCTTGTTTCCTTTGTTGTTGCTGGCTTTCGGATGGAGGTGATGCCTTAGATGGTGACGATGATCTTCTTGCTTGTCTGACGTGCGGGTATTTGAGCGCAGTGAGAATTGGTGGTGGCGTGACGTCGCCAAGAACTGCCTAGTAGCATGGAGCATGATGCGGGTGGGTAATGTTGATGTAATGGTTTTAGTAATAAATGACTATGCCGTCTGTGCGCGTGTGTAATACGTGGTTGTGTCGATTGTCTTAGAATGTAGGTAGAGATGCTAATATCCGTTGCTTCCCATTGCCAATTATATACTCTTCAGAAATGAGGATTCATCGACTAGACCATGGAGGAAGTCAGGAGATTTGTCTCGTGAATTTCCCGTCATTTCCTCGCTCTCCTCGCTGCGCCTCGCCATGTACGGAGTACTCATATACTCGTCACGCCACTTCCTAAATTGTCGGAGCAAACAGGATGACGTATAACGGGAAAACCTTCTTCCGGGGAAGACTAGACTTAGCAAAACACCTCTTTGGCCACTATTTCTACATCATCCTTTCTTAGCCGAGTGGGTTGTACGAGTAACTAGGAGTAGGAAGAACCAGATCGTTGAATAGGCCACAGGCGGCAGACTACTTACTACTCGTAAATTTTATCCTGTTCCCCTGTTATGCTAGTTTGATAGGCGCTCTCTCGATCTGGATAACCCAGTGCCTTGTTGTGTACGTAAGGGTAGGCCGTCCGCCCATTATAAGAATTTATTAATGCAGATGCTGCGGCCCGAACCCCCCTGTTGATGTTCGAGTATAAGGCCTCCGTGATGTGTTTCCGCATGTGGACAGTGGATCGCAAACAAAAGTCTGTTCTGGTCAATGTCAGCCCCGGCAAGGGATTTTAACCAGAGGAGAAACATCACTACGCAGCCACAATCTTTCGTGTATGTGGTGTGCGCTGTCTATGTAAACGGGACCGGCTCATGGGTAAGCACCAGACTGCAGGCTGCGGCTTCCGGGGGAAAGCGGCTCGCGGGACTTGACAACGGGCGTCTTTCCCGCCGGTACCGGCCGCCAAACAGTATCAAGTGCCGCGGGGTCCTTCCACGTGGGCAACGTCGATACGTCGTATAATATGGAACAACGGGGACGACACTTATCTATCCATAATACCGTTTGTTTGACAAAATATCTCGTCTGCATCTTTTGGAGCTCGGTTGGTTGGTTATCAGTAGGCTTTCCTTCCCATGTATGTTGCGAGCTTGGTAAGGGGGGGGGGGAGGGTAAACGTTATCAGTAAAGTATTGCGTCAAGGACTCTGGCGACAGAGTGGCTGAGAAGACGGGGAAAAGAAGAAGAAAGACTCGCTTCAAAAGGAGGAGAGGGGATGGCGAAACTGACAGGTGATGTATCAGAAGACGACACATGCGGAGCTATTCTCGAAGCCGCAGGATAAATGTCTGCGTAATGCCTAAACAAAGCTAACGTGATAATGAGCTTTCGATATGTAGGAAGAGCTGTTCAGTCAGATGCGAATAGCTAAGCCACTGCGGCGTCATCACACACAATATTACTACTACTACTCACTTGACTTCGTGCTCGATATCACCATCTACGGCTAAATCAGTATCGCCACCTACCCTCTGCTTCATTCTCACAAGCTCCGAACCTTTTCGTACACCTAGAGGAACAGGGAGAGGGGGGGGGGGGAGTCGATGGATTCCTGTGAGTGAGCCATTCTTCTGCAAGTCACACAAAAAAGACGGATAGACCCGTCAACATGTCACGGATAAGGGAGGGAGGGGTAGGGGCTATCTAACCCCAGTCGTGATTTGATCCCAGTCAATATGCACATATGATCCACAAAATGTTTCTATCTTCAATGAGGGGAACAGACTGCTTGTTTCCTCTTTTTCTTTTTCTTTTTGACGTATGCACACAGCTTGGTCATGGTTGGGTTGCAATGAATCCCAGTCTACATTTACCAGCAAGAGAGCGACAAAGAGAGTGTTGATGGTTAGAACCAATGAGGCTGACTGTGATCCCCATACCATGTCCCATTCGGGAGACGCCGCCCTCGTCTTTCTTCCAATTGGCTGGCTCGCATTACGGAGCACAGCTCTAGGCTCGAGAAGATGCAGCCCGCCACGGGGACTGTTCTACAGTGGACAGTCGCTGTAATACACCGGTTGACACCAGTAAGCAAGCCCTTCAATATTACTATCAGTGTGATACGGCGCTGCAAATCGACAGTATTAGTGGTGTTATAAGGCAGTACAGATTACAGTAGCCAAGCTAGATAATTCTAGCGTCCAACTATAGCAGGGGATACGGGCTTATGTTACTGCTGTACAGATTATTATTGTCACTCCCGTGGGAAGATTGTAGCCAAAAATGATCACATTCCTCCCCGCAATACCGCACAACATGGCTATTTGTTCCACCCCTGCCTGTCCACGTATTTTTGTCAACCTCATTCCGACCACCGTTCTCTCCCTGTCTCCCCCCTTGTTAGCAGAAGTTCGATTGACAGAAGCCTCCCCCTTCCCGGCCCTAATTCATCTCAGTGGCCATCCACATTGAGACATGATCAGCTCCCTCTTCTGTCGACCTCGTCTATCGTACGACTCTACATGCCCTCGAGATATGCAGATGGTATCAGCTCTTTCCTAAGTACTGATATTCTCAGAGTGCTTATTCCCATTCACTCAGCTCACTCACTCGCTCACTACCCTCTATCGACCAGTCGTGCGGCTCAGCCCTTCAACAGTGTGACGACGCCATCTCCATCCTTGCACCCTCCTATCTACGCACTCCGTACCTCGCGCTTACCTATTCTTCTTCCTTCCTCTCCTTTTCACTCCCCTCCTCTTCTTCACCTTTAATCGACAATTGTTCGCACGCACGCACACGCACACGCACACGCACACGCGCACGCGCACGCACACGCCCACACACACACACACACACACACACACACACACACACACACACACACACACACACACGCAACATAAACGCACTACGACAGCTGGAACCTCTTCTCGCTATCGGCAATACATGCGGCGCCACGTACACAACGCGCACAACCAGCCCAACCCCCACCTCAGTCGCTGAGCCCTGTCCTGGCTCAGTTCTCCGACGCATTGAATGGGCGCTCACCCTGATATGAGCTCTCTCTCCCTCAACAACGGCGCCGGCCACGTCAATGGCATCAACGGAACCAACGGCATCAAGATGGATCGCAAGATGTCGAGCCCCATGGCCCCGCCCTTCATGGTCTCGGCCCCGGGAAAGGTGATTGTCTGGGGTGAACACTCGGTCGTCCACGGTAAGGTGAGTCGACATGCACGAAACCTCGGGGTGCTATTGTTGGGAATTGCTTCCCAAAGAACGGGGCTGGGAAGTCAAGAGAGCGCTGACCATACTCCCCAATTCTCCTCTAGGCTGCCATCGCCGCCGCTATATCGCTGCGGTCGTATCTCCACGTCACAACCCTGTCCAAGTCGAAACGCATCATCACGCTGCGATTCCCCGACGTCGACCTCGTCCACACCTGGGATATCGACGACCTTCCATGGGAGGCCTTCCAGCACCCGTCCAAGAAGAAGTCGTACTACTCGCTCGTCACCGAACTCGACCAGGACCTGCTCGAGGCCCTCCGACCGCACATCGCCTCGGTATCGCCCGAACGGCCCGAGGACATCCGCAAGATCCACCAGCACTCGGCCCTGGCCTTCCTCTATCTCTTCCTGTCGCTGGGGTCCCCGTCCTTCCCGGGCTGCATGTACACGCTGCGGTCGACGATACCCATCGGTGCGGGGCTGGGCAGCAGCGCGTCCGTGTCCGTGTGCCTGGCCGCCGCGCTCCTTCTGCAGCTGCGGACCCTGTCGGGGCCACACCCGGACCAGCCTCACGACGAGGCGCGCCTGCAGGTCGAGCGTATCAACTGCTGGGCCTTTGTGGCCGAGATGTGCATCCACGGCAACCCATCGGGCATCGACAACACCGTCGCCACCCAGGGTAAGGCAGTCCTGTTCCAGCGCACCGACTACTCGCGCCCGCCCTCGGTCCGCCCGCTCTGGGACTTCCCCGAGCTGCCCCTGCTGCTCGTCGACACGTGCCAGTCCAAGTCGACGGCGCACGAGGTGGCCAAGGTCGAGAGCCTGAACCGCGCCCACCCTAAGTTGGTGGGCACCATCCTCGATGCCATGGACCGCGTCACCAACTCGGCCGCCGAGATCCTCGAGGATGAGGACTTTGACGAGGAGGATGACGACTGGCTGAGGCGCGTCGGCGAGCTCATGTCCATCAATCACGGCCTCCTCGTATCGCTGGGCGTCTCTCACCCCCGCCTCGAGGGCGTCCGCGAGCTCGTCGATCACCAGGGCGTGGGCTGGACCAAGCTGACGGGTGCCGGCGGCGGCGGCTGTTCCATCACCCTGCTGCGTCCCGGCGTCCCCGCCGCAAAGATGAAGGAGGTCGAGGGCTGCCTCGACAGGGGAGGCTACCAGCGCTTCCGCACCACACTCGGCGGCGACGGTGTCGGTGTCCTCTGGCCTGCCGTCCTCAAGAACGGCCTCGAGGATGACGAGGACGGCGGCATGGAGATTGACCTCGACAAGTTCCTCAAGGCCGAGGGAACTGAGGGTGTCGAGAAGCTCGTCGGCGTACATGACCACAACGGCGAGCGTGAGGGATGGAAGTTCTGGCGTGTCGAGAGCCGCTAAGGGTTGATTTGAGCTCTGCTCGCCCTTCCTCTCAAATCCCTCTAGGACAGAACCGAACCGACCCCTCCCCCCCCCCCTAAAAAATACGACAATGCCCGAAGAAACGATTGCCAACTTACACGGACAACACCAACCCTAAAAGAAAAAATAGATGCTTCCAACTTCTTTTTTTTTTCGGCCCATGGGTCTATTAATATATTATTAATCTGTTCTTCTTCTTCTTCAACTTATTGTTACCGGACACATTTTCTCAACTGGTGGTGGTCTTTTGTCGTTCAAGGAGTACATTGATGGGAATGGGATTTCAGGCATTTTGGGGATAACGGAGCTATACAAGCGGGAGACAACAACAGCAATGTAGTGGGGGATATGTGTTGACCCTGCTTTCTCCACCTTTGTCTTCTCTTTATAAGGGAAACACTATAAATAATAATATGGCATGAGCTAAAAAGAGCTGGTGAAGAGGGTGATGTAAAGCGTATTGAATGGATCCATTGTTACTTTTTTCCTGCAAGCGATGATTCCTCCAAAGAGACCAGAAATCAAGAAGCAGCTTCCAGCTCTCGGAGTCTATAGTTCCAGTAGCCCTCCCTGATGGGATCCCACTTATCTGCCAGTCGTTGGAGACACAGTCTTGCACGGTCCTTGTCCCCCCTCTTTGCGTACGCGTCAGCCAGGAGGTCCAGGGCGTGGGAGCTCTTGACGTGCTCTGCGCCGTCGTCGTCTCCGAGCGCTACGACGAACTGCTCTGCGAATTCGACCTCGTCGGCGGGGGACCTGGCACCCTTGGCGAGCACGCCGCGCAGGTAATTCCAGGGGGACTGGTTCTGGGGCGCGAGGGCGATCTTCTCTCGCGCGTAGGCAAGTTCGCGGTCGAGGACGGCGTCGGGTATGGACGGGTCGTGGGCGGCGGCGGCGGACCCGGGCGTGGAATGGGCGGGGTCGGAGAAGACGACGTAGAAGCGGTGGGACCAGGCTGAGTTGTTGCGGACATCATCCTCTATCATGGACTGGGTAGCTGCGAGCTCGGGTGCGGAGAAGAGCCCGAGGCGGCCGACGAGGTACTGCCTGTAGGACCAGACATGGTAATTCTTGGTGTCCTCGGCGAGGACGCGGGTGATGAAGTTGGTCTCGGACTTGGCGAGGCGCCTGACGGCGTCCGCATCGCCGGCGACGGTGGGGTAGTGGTGCTCCATGAGGAGCTGGCGGTGATGCCAGATCTGGTAATTCTTCAGGTTGGCCAGGGCGACGCCGTTGAGCCAGTCCATCTCGCCCGGCACGTCGAGGCCGAGGTGACGGACGATTTTGAAGCGGTACAGCCACACGGTGTAGTGAGCCGGGTTCATGGAGATGACGTGCTCCGTCAGGCGGAGACAGCGAGCCGAGCACTCGTCCGCTGCCATGACGGATCGCAGGTACGCCACCGCCTCGGCGTAGTCCTCCGGGTAGGCGATCTTGGCTAGCGCGCCCTCGGCCTCGTCCTGCGGGATGGGCACCACGTCGTCCCACGTCGGGTCCTGCGCCAGGGAGCCCGTCTGCACGCCGTACAGCTCGCGCGTGAGCTGGGCCATTGTCCTGCGTCGCTCGCGCTCCTCGTCGATCCTGTCCTGCGGGAGGGCGCTAGCGACGGTGCCGCTGCCGGCCGTCGAGGCCAGGAACCGCCGGTGGAGGATGTCCAGGGCCACCAGGCGGGCCTGCTTCAGGCTGCGCTGCTCGAAGTCGCCGACCGTGTAGCTGCCTAGGTCGCGGCCGCTGCGGTCCTTTCCCCACGACGCTTCCCCCCGGGGCCTGGCGAGTCGTCGGATCGGCAGGTTCTCTCGCGCCACCGTCTTCCAGAACTCCCGCTCCGCCTTGTTCGAGAGGGGCACCTTGTCCTGCGAGACGGGGATGATCAGCGAGGCGTGCGCGTGCGTCTTGCGCTGCGCGGGTGTCAGTCCCGTCAGCCCGACCTGATCGATCTGCTGGGACAGAGGGTTGGTCTGATGGTACCGTTGGGTGGAGCGGTCGGACACGGTCGCTGCTGCGGGGGGCACGGATGATGGAGAGGTGGCTGCCTTGGAGGAGGAGCTGCCTTTTGTCGTTGTCGTCTTGGGTGGCATGGTCTGCCCCGTCGGCTGAAAAGGAGTGCGGGAATGAACGAGGGTCGTGGGCAGGTACTTGGAAACCAAAACTCGAGGGGCTTTGTGGTCTCGATTTCTTCACTGGGTCAGAGGTTTGGCGTTTTGGGGGGGGGGGGGGGGGGTGTCACAGTGCGGGGTTCTGTGCTGGTGCTAATATTTGTTCTACTGGGTCAGCATAATACTAAACTTTGCAATGGGATCTGGATACTGATCATCATTTAAAAGTTATAGAGAGGAGTTAATAGGGGTCGGATATGTCTAATACAAGATTCCTTGTATGTTTCTTTAATTTGTCGTGATATCATTGCTCGTTGCACACCCACACCCCTCATTGAAGGTTGGCCTCCCTTGTCCAAGATGAAGAAATATGGCAGATGCAGGTGGCATGTAAGCCCCATGCTTCTATGTCCGCAAGATTGACTAAATACCTAGGCAATGCATTCTCGAGTGACTACTATTGTTTCCTCCTAGGAATCTCTCCTGACCTATCTCGTACCCCCCCCTCCCGATAACATAGCTTCATTATATGCATTTTATCGCTGCTCGAATATGGCGTATCGTGTCGTTTAATAGAGAACGGGTGAGCGAACTTTCTCAATCCAGGCTTGAAGTTACTGCCGACTGCACTCCAGACGCGGTGGCAGATCGGTGCGTGTTTCGAGGGCCTGACGATGCTCTGAGATGGTAGGTGGGATGTCCAACAGGGCCGAGCCAGACAATTACCTCCAGCTTAATCGACAGGTTATTGCTGTGGAATGTTCGAAACAGTAGTAGCTATCGCGAGCGGTACTTGATGATGTTCTGCTCCTGGAGACTATGGGCGGGAAAGGGGTGTCGTCGTCGATGTTGTCGTCGATGTTGAAAGCCGCATCGGTCATCGAAAACGCATCCATTCCATCATAGCGCCCGAAAGTTTTGCGACATGATGAGCCACGGCCTGATACCCCGCGGCGGATTCTTCTGCATAGCCTCCCAGTTGGGCACGAGGACAAAGGTCTCGTTGAACATCTTGCGGGGCGCATCGCGACCCTTGCCGTACTGCACCTTACCCATGACTGTGACGACGGTGCTCATGCGGCCGCCGTTGCGCTCCTCCTTGTCCGGGTTGGCAATATTTGTGGGCGCGTCGTATTGGAACGAAGGGTTGACGGCGTGCGTGTCCAGCGACTCGGCCTCATAGCGGACGCCCTGGCCCTGAGCCTCGAGGAGGTTGAAGTAGTCGGCCGGGGTGGCGACCTGGGCACCGTTGATGGAGATGTCGGCCTTTATCGTGTAGCGGCTGGTCGAGTTGACGTAGAAGGGCAGGATGGGGGCATGATTGTTCAGGGCTTCGTAGTAACGCGTGACGAGACCTTCGGCGGCTGATTGTTGATGTTAGTGTGTGGGGGGGGGATCTGTGCGTGTTTGGGGTGAGAGGGAGCATTGCTTACCCTCGCTTGAGGCCTTGATCTCGACATCAGGGGTAGGGAGCGGCATGGCAAGAATATGCGTTGTCCAAACTGTCCAAGATGGAGGGGCAGAGTAGGTGGTCTATGCTCTATAGAAAGAAAATAACGGAGAAAAATGATGATCAAGAAAAAGTGCCGTGCTATCCATCCCACCAATCCGCACTGTGTCTTATCAACCACGCCATTTGTTAACCCGACGCGAGCTCGAGCTCTTGATCTTGGAATCATCACCAACAACGACTTGATCAAAAGCCACGGCGCCATGGCTCCTACGGTTCTGCGTTCCCTCGGTGGACTGCGCAGATCCCGTCATGCATTGGCACAGCACGCGACGAGAACGAGGTTACGGTCACGGCTGGTAGCGCAATGCCGCCTGACCAGCACCTCAGCACAGTCGGTCGGCGACAAGCCATACTACATTACGACGCCTATATTCTACGTCAATGCCGGTACGTCGAGGCCTGCCCTGCTAGCTGAAGATGGAGGAAGAGTTTTGGCTAACAGCTTGGCTCTCCAGCTCCCCATATAGGCCACCTGTACACCATGGTTCTGGCCGACGTCCTGAAACGATGGCAGCAGCTCAAGGGACGCGAGGCCTTCCTCAGCACAGGCACGGACGAGCACGGAATGAAGATACAGAAGGCGGCAGCGAAGCAGGAGATGTCCCCGCACGACATGTGCGACGCCAACTCGGCCAAGTTTCGAACGCTCACGGGCGAGGGCGGCATCTCGCACGACGTCTTCATCCGGACGACGCAGGCGGACCACCGGAAGGCGGTGCAGGAGTTCTGGTCGCAGCTGAAGCACAGCCTCCCCAAGTCCCTGGGCCTGTACAAGGGCGACCACGCAGGCTGGTACAGCGTCGACGACGAGTGCTTCTACCCCGAGAAGCTGGTGGGGCCGGCCATCGTGCCGCAGACGGGCAAGAAGGTCATGGCCAGCACCGAGACGGGCAGCGAGGTCGAGTGGGTCAAGGAGGAGACGTGGTTCTTCCCCCTGACGAGGTACAGGGAGTCCCTCCTTGAGTTCTACGACCGCAACCCCGGATGGATCCAGCCCGAGCACCGCTTCAGGGAGGTGCGCGACTGGGTCGAGAACCACCTCGAGGACCTGTCCGTAACGAGACCCTACAGCCGTCTGACCTGGGGCATCCGCGACCCGGACGACGATAAACAGACCATCTACGTCTGGGTTGACGCCCTGATCAACTACCTCACCATCGCGGGGTACGGCACCGACAAATGGCAGGCCGGCGCTGGCGCCGGCAACCTGTGGCCCGCCGACCTGCACGTCGTGGGCAAGGACATTGTCCGCTTCCATGCCGTCTACTGGCCCGCCCTGCTTCTAGCCCTGGGCCTGCCCCTGCCCAAGAAGATCCTCTGCCACAACCACTGGACCATGTCGAGCCGCAAAATGTCCAAGTCGGTCGGCAACGTCGTCTCGCCGACTTTCGCCGTCCAGCGATGGGGCACCGACCCGCTGCGCTACTTCCTCATGCGCAACGGCTCTCTGGCGAAGGACATGGACTATTCCAACGACACCATCTACGCCATCTACGTCAAGGAGCTGCAGGCCAGCCTAGGAAATCTGTACTACCGCGTTGCTAGGCCCAAGGCTGCCAAGAACTGGTCTACGCGCGATGCCCTGGACTCGTTCGTCGCGGGTGACTTCAAGGCCTGCAAGGAGAACCCTGATGACCCTGGTACTCACTACTCTAGGCTCGAGGCCAATATCGATGCTGTGGCCTCCAAGTTTCAGAAGCACATGGATGAGCATGATATCTCTGGTGCTATAGGTCAGGTGTACGACCTCCTTGGCGAGGTAAGTATTCACCCCTACCCCCACACCCCCCTCCCTTTATCTCGCTCCTGCCTCCGGTTCTGACGCTGCTGTCAAGACAAACCGCTACCTCTCCGACACCGCTCCCTGGGCCCTGGTAAAGCAGGACGGCAATCGCCAGCTAGTCAACTGGGTCATCTTCAACTGCGCCGAGGCCCTCAGATTGGCCGCCATCCTCCTCCAGCCCATCATGCCCACCAAGGCCGCTCAGCTTCTCGACGAGCTGCGTGTGCGCGACGACCGTCGTACCCTGGCTTGGGCTGCGCGCGGAGCAGACGACGACTACGGCCTCACGAGCGATGACATGGAAAAGTTAGGACGTGTGCAATCGTGGCAGACCATTTTCCCGCCTGTCCCTGGTGGCAAGTTGACGGACGAGGAGGTTAGAGAGGAGTTCGGTACGCTGGTGGGCCAGAAGGGGAGCTCAAGGCTCAGTTCGGTGGCCGAGTATGCTGCTATGAAGGCTCGGATGAGCGAGGCTGATGTTGAGAAGATGATTGGGAGTGCATAGCTGCATGTACCTTTGTATAATAGAGTGTACGAGTATAACATGTAGAATAATGTATCTTGTCGGAGTGGATTAGCATATACCTTGTATACGATAGCTGGATATTACCAGAATGCAAACGACCAGATACCAACCACCAACTACTACTCCATACTAATTATAGTAGTACTAGAGGTAGCATGGAGCACAAGATGTAGACGGCCAAATGTGGCTGGCTGGCTGGGGATTGTCAGTGAGAAAAAAGACGCTTCTCAAATCTCCACTTGTACCGCACTCAACGCCATCTTTTTACCCATACAGCCTTAGACGTCATCCTACATGATGAAGTTGAATCGCAAGACGGGTACGCATAACACCTCCCCCCCCCGCTAGATGCCTTTACTAACGCGCACTCACTCCCCCAGCTATCTCGACACCCAAGGTCCTGCTCGTGCCGTACGAGAGTCACCATGTGCAAAAGTACCATGGATGGATGCGAGACCCGGTATGCCGCCCAGACTGATCCTCCCGTCTCTCGTTCTCGCCGCTCTACGCATCTAACACCCGGGGACAGCTGCTACAAGAGGCTACGGCGTCCGAGCCCATGACCCTAGAAGAAGAATACAGCAACCAGGTGTCGTGGCGCAAGGCACACGACAAGCTCACCTTCATCGTGTGCAAGCCCATCAACACTACCAGCACCCTGCTGGGTGGCGACGGCGGTGACGTGGATTTCGTCCGCATGAAGACCCTCGACAGCGACGAGAGGATGGTCGGCGACGTCAACTTCTTCCTCTATCCGTACGAGGACGACGAGAACGACGTCCAGCAAGGCAAGGACAACCTCACCGGCGAGATTGATATAATGATTGCTGAGGGGGGCGATCGCCGCAAGGGGATGGGCCGCGCCGCCGTGTGCGCCCTCATGGTGTACATACAGATCCAGATGGGTGGGCTGCTGGAGGAGTACGTCACGGCCGGTGGGGGTCGGACCAGTTCCGCTGCCGCTCTGAGGAATTACATGGTCAAGATCAAGGAGGGGAATTCGGCAAGCAGGAGGCTGTTTGAGGGGCTTGGGTTCCGCCAGCAAGGGGGTGCGAACTACTTTGGCGAGGTGAAGCTTGTGATCGATCTGGCTGATGTCCAGGAGCAGAAGTGGTGGAGGGAGACGATGGAGCACTGGAGGGACATACCGTATGGGTCTATGGCGGATGAGTTGAAGTTGAGGGATTGATGCATCACAGAGTATAGGGTTGAGTGTGCGGGGATACACGTTATATGTGAAATATTATCAACAGCTGATCTTGGGTATTTTGAGATGGTTGAAGAGAAAAAGGAAGAGAAAATATCTAGATGAGTATGTGCGGCTAGGTACTATATACGAATGTACGCTTCTGGTTTTCAACAATTCAAAAAGCCGCCCGGCTAGCTCAATCGGTAGAGCGTGAGACTCTTAGTAGTCTTCGTTCTCGAAGCATAAAGAGACACATCTCAAGGTTGCGGGTTCGACCCCCGCGTTGGGCTTTTCCTATACATTCCCTAAACATGATTGAGTTTTTTTTTTTTGCCTTTTTCTCATCTTTTGTATTCTGCTGGTGGTGGCTTTACACACACTGTATGGTCGTAGGGAGACAAACTTGAGGTAGGTTATCAACGCATTACAAGACGGATATATACAAATGTTTATTTTATTCTTCTCTCTGTCTCCCACACACACACACGCATACATATATATACATTCTTATTCTACAATCCTGCATGAAAATGTCCCATCAACCGTCTAATCTCAGTAAACTTCCTTGTGCCGCCCAATGTTAAGTGCTCGTACTAGCACAGTGCCATTCCACCCAATCAGAGCCACGCAATACCCTAAGGCTGGCCGAATTCAATGTCTCCTCACCTTCTTCACCAGGAACAAATCCACCCTCATTCATCGACAAACCCATCATCAACCCTCCACAGCAAGCGCAATGAACATCGTCACTCGCTGCGTCGCGCGTCTGGCGCCCCCCACGGCTAACAAGACCACATTGACCAGGTAAGCAAGCCATCTGGAATTGCGGAGAATCCCCTCGTCGCTTAGATCTCCATCTGACATTCTCCTCTCCCCTGGCAGGACCTTTACCACCTTTACTCCCCTCCGACCGACGGTCCTCCCCGGCGTGTCCTTCCGTCCGTCGACCTTTACGCCTACTTCCACCTCTGCGGCTCCGAACGCAGCTGTAGCCGACCTCGTCCCCACGTCGTCCGTCACGAGCCACCCTGCCCTGCAGCACATGGGCATCCGTTTCGGCCCGCGCAACACGATGAACGGGCACACGCGACTGGTGCAGAAGCGCCGGTCGGGTTTTCTCACGCGCAGGAGGGACAGGACCGGACGCAAGATTCTGCTGAGGAGGAGGATCAAGGGGCGTAGGGAGCTCGCTCAGTGAGCCTAGTTGTCTGTCCTGTCTATACGACCCCCCCCCCCCCCCCCCCCCGCCCCCTCTTTGATTCAATTAGAAGTTTGGGGAGGCAGGGGACAGAAAGGAGAACAACAAGTGTACTACTACTATTATAACAGCATATCTGTGTGATTATCATTACTGTATTTTTTGTTTCAACTGTCTCTTTTTTACATATACAATCCGAGAAGAAAACAAGAGATGATTACTAGGAAAGGATGATCCCCTCCTTCCTTCCCTATACGGGTCCGTCAGTCGCATCATCACAGCTGAGCGTGTCAGCACGGCACACGACGGAAAAGTTGTCGCTCGCGTCGCCCAGCCACACCTTGTACGTGCCATCGACATCCGGGACGACCCAGTCCTGCAGCTCAACGTCCCAGACGCTGAGATCCTTGCGCGTCAGGAACAGGTCTACGGTCTGACTCTCGCCGGGGGCCAACTCGCGCGTCTTCTCAAAGTCACGGAGCTGGATGATGGGCGTGTCCTCGGCCACACCGTCGGGGAACTGGAGATATGCCTGGACGGACGCCTTGCCGGAGAAGTTGCGCGCGCCCGAGTTGGTCACGGTGACGGACAGGGAGTAGGCGACGTCCCAGAGGGCTGGGTTGCCGCCCTGAGCGCCGCCGGCACGCGGGCCCTGGGCCTTCTGCTCGGACGTGTAACCCTCGGGGTAGTGCTCATAGGGTGTCGTTCCCGCCTTGGCGGCGGCCTTCTCGGCATCGTCCTTGCTGAGCCACGAGTAGATGTAGCGCGGGATCTGGTTGAAGCCCGCTGGGGCGACGGCCTCGCTGGCGTCGGGGATGGCCTGGGAGTAGTTGAGCACGGGACCCTTGTCGGGGCGGGCGGGCGGCAGGCGCTGCAGCTGTGTGACCTTGGAGATGGAGGCGTTGCCCATGTCAAAGGTGGTGTAGCTCAGGCCGTGGCCAAAGGCGTACCGGGGCCGGATCGACTCCTTGTTCAGGTAGCGGTAGTCGATGTACAGGCCCTCCGAGTACGTGTCCTGGGCCTGGTTGAGGAAGGCGTGGTCTATGAGTTCCGTCACGCTCGCCGGCATGTCTGCTTCCTGGTACGTGATGGAGTAGGGGAGGTGGCCGCAGGGGGATGTCTCGCCGTACAGCACGTCGGTCAGCGTCTTGCCGGCCTCCTGACCGGGTAGGTGCGTCACCAGGACCGACTTGACGGCCTCGAGGTCGATCCACGGCTCCAGGACCAGCGGCCCCACCGTCTGCACGACGACGACGACGCTGGAGTACCTGGCCGCGGCAGCCTTGACCAGCTGGTCGCCGCCGTGCCACGCCGCCAGCCTGGAGGCGTCACGGTCGCCGTGGTTGCCCTCGACCGTGTACGTGTTCTCGCCGGCGTCGGAGGTGATGAAAACGATGGCCACGTCGCCGTCGGCGGGGTCCTCGTCCAGGCTAGAGGGGAACGAGTCGGTGTTGTAGAACCTGACCCCGCCCTCGGCCGACGACGCGTCGCGCAGCGCAGAGATGGGGTCGTCGAGGTACATGTAGTCTACCGTGCCGGAGCCCCAGCCCTGGCCCAGGGTCCCCTTGTTGCACTTGCGGTCCGCGCAGGCGTTGGGGCCGTCTGCGTTGGCCTGGGCGGCCGTGCCGAAGACGGTGACGGGCGTCGAGGCCCTGAGCGGCAGGAGGTCGTCCTCGTTCTTGAGCATGGTGATGGCGTCGCGCGCCACTGCGCGGGCCACAACGTCGTGGTCCGCCTGCACGGGCACGAACTCGTTGACGATGCCCGTCGGGCTGAGCGGCCAGGCGGCTGCGTAGATGGGCCCCACGGCGTCGTTGGTGTTGGTGTCGAAGTTGGTGGCCGGGAAGCCCTCGTCCTGGCCCATCTGGTACCACGCCGCCACGACGCGCGTCGCCATGTCGTTGAGACGCTCCATCGGCACCGTCCCGTTGAGCGTGGCCCGCGTCATCTCGTACATCCAGTACGAGTTCCCGAACAGAGGGATCTGGGTGTCACCCGGCATGTCCAGGTCCAGTCCGGACAGGGCCGAGTCCACGCCGGACATGTGCGCGAGCCAGTCCGACATGACGAGACCCTGGAAGCCGAGCTCGTCCTTGAGGATACCGTTGATCAGGTACTGGTGCTGGCTGCAGGCGGTACCATTGACCTGTTTTGTGTCGGTCCCCCCCCCGACCCCCAGGTTAGTCAATATCCCACCCCATTCATTCATCGTAGAGGGGCACGGTCAAGGAACGTACAGCATTGTAGGCCGTCATGGCAGCGCCGACGCCGGCACGGACGGCCTCGGCAAAGGGCCACAGGTACAGCTCATGCAGAGTTCGGTCATCTGCACACGACAGCTTGCGTGTCAGTCAGCCATACGAGGGAGGGATAGCTTGGATGCACATGGGCAACCTTACCAATGTTGGAGCTGTAACCCTGCTGGAAGGGGTTATACATGCGGTACATCTCCTGCTCATTGCCGATGAGATGCTTGATGGTGGCGATGACACCCTGGTCCTGGACGCCGCGGACCGTCTCCCTGCCGGCGACGGCCTGGAGGACCGGGTCGGCACCGAATCCCTCCCAGTTACGACCGCCCTTGGGCTTGCGGCCGATGGGACCGATGGTGGGGCCCAGCCAGATGTGCACGCCCTTTCCGCGGGCCTCCTCGCCGATGGCCTTTCCGCGGTCGTACATGAGCTTCTTGTCAAAGGTGGCGCCGACGGTGATGCCATCGGGGAAGACGGTGACGTTGTCAGCCTGGCGAACGCCGTTGGCGGCATCGTTGAGGCAGAGCTGGGGGAAACCCAGGCGGTACGCCGAGCCAGTGTTGCCGTTGCATCGGCTGCCGTCGCGTCAGTATTCATCAGCAATGTCACAAGTTGAGTGGTGTGGTGTGGATGCAATGTGCAAGCCAAGGTCAACCAACTCACGCTGTTGAAGTGTCAGCCATACCTAGTCATCACATATCTGCGGGGAGAGACCAAGGAGAATGAAAACAAAACAAAACAAAACAAAACAAAACATGAGAGAGAACGTACCCATGAAGATACCAGATCCAGCAGTAATGTTGGTCTTCTCCGCCAACGTCATGCGGTCCACGAGCGCCTTGGCCTTGTCGTAGCTCTCGGCCCAGCTGTCGACCCATCCGCCGTAGGGGGAAGGATAGTACGGAGGAGAGTAGTATCCCTCTGGGACGTCGGACCTCTTGTCCGCTACCGGGGAGGCCGAGGCCAACGAGGCCAAGAGCAAGATGTTCTTCAAGCCCATGGTGACGGTTGGTTATCGTCGGCGTTGACGAGTCGTCCTAGGGTCAGGTCTATCAACTTGAACTTGGGGTGAGAGACCTAGGGTGAGGACTTGGGGGGGGGAGGTGAGACCTGGGGATTATAAAGGAACCCATGTCATGAATTCATTAGAGGGAGGGAGAAACCTGGCCCAGATTACAATACCGATGATCATACCCTCTTTTTTTTTTTTTTTCCCCCCCCCCCCCCCCCCCTTAATTGAGTCCTTGACAGATTACCTACTCCGTACATAACACTGAATATTATCACCAGGCACATGCATATATGTATATCATGGGGTACATAATATCTATATCCAGGCACATGCATATTATGTTATATCCATCTACATCATGGGGTACATCCATCGTGCTCAGGGGAGGTGGGGTCGGTTCGAAAAGTCAGGGGTGCAAGTTCGCGCGGTTCTACGTAGTAGAGATAACGACTAATGATAATACTACATATAACTCAAGTACTCGTACAGATTACTCGCAAGAAGGTAAACATAGTCAAGGGGGCGGGGGGGGACGGATGGGCACACTAAGGACTCTAGTTTTACGTCGTGTTGATCTCTGGACAGCTGATAATGTCGTGACATTCGGATAGCTGAAGACTAGTTGTCTAGTGATTGCTACTAATACTCGGTAATATTCGGTATGACACATATTAATATTAGGAGTACAGATTAGTGAAACCTCGGTTGGGGGCGATTGAGAATAGTACGAGTATTATCAGTGGCATAAGGCTCTAAAGAAATGAAGAAGAGAGATGGTGATGATGACGGTGATGATGAAGCCAACTAGCTACTGCATCACGTGGGATGTGAGAAAACAAGGACCGACTGGTGACCACGTGACTATATGGCCTAAGGCCATCAACGGGTTACGACTTATGGACTCTGTTCAGAGCAATAGATGAATTGAGAGGCCCGAGGTGTGGGACGGTAATAAGATGATTGGCACTTCCTTGGGTTGAACGGGGTATTGTCATGATATCAACGCAAGGCATAAGTTCATTTCGAGCTACCTCCACTCTATCAGGCATCATCAACGTAGCGAGGAACTTCTTATAGCAGATGAGCTCTCTGCAGCAACCACAACCCGAGACCAAGGCCCCAAGGTCAAGAAGAACAGAAGGACAGAGAGGGTGGGGGTGGGCATGGACAGTTCAATCGGTTTCGTACCTGTATTGATATAGGTCGACCTGTATTATGACAGGTAGACTCGCCGGTAGACTCGCCGGTAGACTCGCCGGTAGACTCTCGGAGTCGCGGTAGAGCTGTACAGATTACAGATTACCAGACATGATATTAGCCAAGAAGAGGAGGGCGCAGTCAATATTATATGCGGGAAAACGGATATTACCCCGGTCAGAAAGTGCAAAAGCTATGGTCGCGTGAACGGTGAGCCCGATGAAGAGAAGAAGAAAGAAGACATGTGCCGTGACGAAAGATAGATGATTTAACATGATATGATATGATAGATGATATTATAGTATTATAAGGGGGGAGGGGGGTGTTTCCCAGTATTATTGAGTATCATTGACAAACATCTCGACTCCTATTCCGGTCATATCTCCGCCGTTGTGCAGCATGCAGCAGCATCTCCTTCATCGCATAATCGCATAACCGGAACGAGGTGCAGAATCAAGAGTTGTGTGACAAGGATAATATTGTTCCCTTAGATCTTTTTTTCTTCTTCTTTCTTCTTCTTTCCTTGTCTCGTCTTATTACTTGTTCGGAGCATTCAATTGTCTTATTGTCTTTGATATTCAGTCTACAGATGAACCAATCTTGTCCACATGAAAACTTCTCTAATCTCACCCACCTCGCCTCGATGTCGGAGACATCACGGAACCCTCTCTATCTCTCTCTATCCTCACATTGACCATCAAAATGATCTGGCATCCTCGATGTTATAATTATATATATGTATGTATATATGTGTATATAATATATATAAGGCCAAGGCCTAGGAAAGAAAGGGGAATAAAAAGTATCACTACGGATTACTGCCACCATCTTCCCCACTCTATTTGTGTGAATGCCCTCCTTTTTTTTCTTCAGAGATAGAATCCGCGCTTTTTTCCTCCTCAACCAACCCCCCCCAAATGTAGACATTTCTCTCCATGACGAGTAGAGACTCGACATAGAAAACTTTGTCATCGTCAGTGGCAGTCTCTCGGGTCTAATAATGACCTCTTGCCTGACAGAGGATGTCAAACATTCTCGTCCTGATCCCTGAGGCTGGCACTGTCGAGACACCTCTGCTTCTAGAGCTGTCTGACGATATCGATAGGACTTTCACACCGAGAATAGGTCTTCATATGCTTTTTGATAGTGGTTGGATTTGATACGAGAGGGCTGATACGATAATCAGTTATCGACATCGGGATCCCTGAATCACCGCAGCTAGAGAAAGAGAGAGAGAGAGAGAGAGAGAGAGAGACGAGACGATTGAGATTTCAATCCACCCCTTCCGTCACCATGCCCTGGGCATTAGGAACGCCGACGAGGATGACGCCACGCGGCACCCGCACGTCCTTGACCTTCATGCACCCAAACACGTTGACCTCCCTGATACGGGGGCAGGAGCGGAAGATGCAGCCGAGTATGTAGTCGGTAACCTCCTCGCAGAAGCTGATCTCGAGCTTCCTGAGCTCCGGATAGAGCTGGGCACCCCCGAAAACGTCCTCAAAGGCCTGGCGCGAGATGTTGCGGCATGCGTGGACGTTGAGCTTGCGCAGCCCGCTGCCCGAGTGCGCCATGAGAGCCTTGAACCCTCGGCTGCAGAGACCGACGTGGTCCTCGTTGTCACGCGGCTTCGAGGCGCTCACGTATCGGCACTTCTCGAGGTCGAGGAACTCGAGCGCCTGGTTCTGCCAGCCCGAGAAGAGCCCGGCGAAGCCGGCGTCGGTCATGTGCTCGCTCTCCGTGATGCGCAGCTTGGTCAGGCGACGACAGTGCGTGCGGATGGCCGCCAGTACGTTGTCGTCAGCCAGAGGAACCGCATTGAGCGACAGGGTGACCAGGTTGGCACCCACACCGGTTACGGCGTGGCTGATGGCCGATGGCGACAGGCTGTGCCGCAGCCGCAGGCCTATGTGCCGGAGGGTGGGTATCTCGGCGAGGGTGCGGACTCCAGCGTCGCCGACCTTTTGGTTGTTCTCAATCTTGACCTTCTCGATGGCCGGGCAGTGCGTCTTGATGACGCCTACGGTCTCGTCGCCGAAATGTCGGTCGGTATAATAGACCTGCAGAGTGCGCAGGGGACCGCCTTTGGCGCGGAGGAACTGATGCCATTTCTCCTCGCTCAGCAGGTTGGCTCCGTGCAGGTAGAAGCTCTCGAGTTGCATGGCCTCGCGCGAGAGCACGTAGTCCATGACGCTATCCTTGAACTGTATGGCACACTTCGCCTTGAACCGCCGCAGGTGCGAACCCGTCACCTGGAAGATGCTCATCAGATCTCGCTCATTCAGCCGCGCCCCGTCGTAGATGTGCACCATCTCCGTCCCCGGTTGGACGAAGAGGGGGAGCGTTTCCGCCCGCAGGAGCCGTTGCTTCGAGAAGATGCGCGCGATCTTGTCCACCAGGTGCTCGGGAAGGTCTCCCAAGCTCTCGGCCATATCCACGTTCTTGGCCAGCGTCTGCACGCAGAGGGTCGACAGCGATTTGGCCCCCACGTCGCCATCCAGTAGCCGGCTCTGCACAGCTCGCCTTGCGCCTATCCCGCCGGTTTGGCGGCGCGCCGGCGTTGGCTTCTTCTTCTTCTTGGGTTGCTGGCCTTGCCGCTCCTTGGCCACCTCTCGTCCGCACGGCGCGCAGAGGAGACCTCCATCCGGTCCGGCCACCGAGTAAGGGGTCACGGTGAAGCGCTTATCGCACATGGCGCAGTTCCCCATCTGTCCCGGCAGCGGCGCGTGCCTCTCGTTGAACAGGGCCCGCGCGATCTCATCGTCGGAATTGTCGTCGGAATTTGCTCCCTTCTTGCGCTTCTTCAACGCCCTGCCCCCTTTACTCTTTTCTATCGTCTTCTCCTTGGCCGCCTGAGCGTTTGCCTCGCCAGCATTGACTGCTGATTGCCGTCGCGAGCTTCTCCTGGCCTGGACTGGACTTGTCTCTACTTCTTCCGCTGCCTCGGGGTTCTCCCCTCCTCCGTTCTCCTGCGCCTGTTGGATTGCAGCTTGTCTCCGCTGATCGGCCGAATCTCTGATCTGCTGGGCCGAAATGTTGTGTGAAGCAAGAAAGTCTGTCAAGGCCGACTGAGGGCCTGTTATGTTCCGCCTGGGCCTTTGGTTGCCATCATAGTCACCGTTGGGCTGATTCTGTTGCGGTCGCACCCTGGGTGGATTGGTCAGCCAAGATGACGCTCAACGGGGATCTGGTGATGGGAGGTGACCGACATGATGAAGCCTCAATCAGCCACCAATTTGATAAAAGGACCGCACGCGCCGTCTTCACAAGGTAGCAATGATATGAAAAACAAACCAAAAAAAAAACCCTCTCAATAAAAGAAAAGAAGAAAAAAAAGAAGAAAAAACAGGTGCCTAAAACGAAGCCGGTTCTCCCCATGAGCTGCACTTTCGTGGCGGAGGCGATGAATAGCGTCAAGGCGTGCACAGTGCAGGCGCGAGTCATCCACGATATCATGTGACATGGTAGTGATTTCTTTTAAACCCCTGCATGACAGCATAGATGCACTGTCGAGACACAGTAAGGCAGTCACGGTTCACCACCCAAACTGGCTGTAACTACGTTCACAGGTACAGTGACGATTCGAAGAGTCACACACAGTCATCTCAATTCCCTGCTCCAAGGCACGTGCTTTCGCGTTTCTAAGCGTCTTTCGGGCGAAATCTGAATGCCTAAGTCTCTCTAAGAGCCTCCGAGGTGGCGATAAGGAGAATTATAATCGAGGTAGACACTGTGTGTGTGTGGACTGGCGCCTTCCCTGTTCTACTTTTGTGCCTGCTTATTGTGTACAGGTAGAAGTAAAGCGGCACCGTATGATCCTCCTTTGGGTCAAGCAACGTTAGATTTTCACCATCGTTTCTTCCTGTCCATCGCACAGCGTGTGTGTCCCTCGTCCTCTTTACGTTGGTAGTGCTTGCGGCGCTTCATTCTCTCTCGTCGTTTAATATCACCCACCTACCGTCCTTCTTACTGTGGCTTTCACCTGCTCTCGCTTCACGTCCGCGCCCCGGCTCTAGCATCGGTTACCGAAAGAAGAGTATCTGTTCAACTTTACTTGACCTGCATTCTTTTGGATCGAGTTATCCAGTACAATGCCTCGTCGACCATTACGGGTCGTGTCTCGGGAAGCCACGGAGAATGGTGAGCATACATATTCGTATATGTCGAAAGCAAGCAGGAGCCGGTCTGGCATTCACCCATACTGACAGCCATTTCAGATTCCTCTGCTGAGATTCCAGCTGGTAGCACCGGCCGCGTCGCCCAGTCTAGATCATCCTTTAACCTAGCTAATAGTGTCGCGTTTGATGCTGCCGCTGACGCCACCACCGCTTCCGAAAACCAGGTGAGCCAGCCAACAAGACATGGTAGTGATCAGACACGCAAGTCCATTCAACCGGAAACTGGTCCAGCGCTGGCGCCTGCCAAGAGGGCTGCATCTGCCGCGCGAGATTCGACGTCTTCTGTCCCTACACCCGCGGACGCAACCTCGGGGAGCGAGTACTCCACGCCCGCCACCAGTAATCCTACGCCCACTGCTACGGACATCCCCGGAACCTTGAGACCGAAAAGTTCCTTTGAGGTCCGTATTCCTTCTAGGGGTTTGGATAAGGAGCGCGGTCTGCGGAGCAGCAGATACTCGATGAGATCTTCAGCGAGATCGAGACAACTGCAGATTTCCGATAGCAACGATGAGCTCGACAACGCCGAGTTTTCCAATGACTCGCCTGATGCTTTGGCTGCTCGAAGAATGCAGAGAAAGGAGGATAGACTCGCCGACGCTCAAATGGCTTCCTCTTCTGCCCATTCATCGTCTCGCAGGACTTCAGCTAGGAACAAGTTTACTGCCAACACTCCTCAGGTGCAAAAATTAGCTTCTGTGAAGCGTTCGGGAACCTTTACCGGAGCCTCAGGGAGGCCTTCGAAGAAGCCCAAAGCCTCGACAGATCTCAAAGATGACGTGGACATGGACCAAGATACAGAGGTCGCCCGTCAGCTACAGGAAGAAGAGTATAATCGAGATAACGATAACGATGCCCCATTTTCGACAACAGACGTTGGAGAGGACTCGGAAGGTACCGATGACGAGTACAATGAGGATTCTGAGCCGCTTGCACTTACTGCTAGGCGTCGTCGGGAGTCCCGGCGTAATTTTCTCGAACCTCTGGAGCTCGGGGAGGCAGAAGAGCAAGAGAGTCAATCTAGCATGCCGCCCTCTGACACGAATGATTCTAACCCAGGCGTGGATTCGGACTCGGACGCGGAGTCGGTAGCAATAGTTACAGAGCAGCGACGCCAATATAGAACTCCCACCAGCGCCGGCCGTGGTCGCGTCAAACGAGAGCGTTTCCGTCTCGAACACCATCATCCAGAGGTAACGACCATGTGGAGTGAGCTGCAGATGATTCCCGTCCTCCGACCCGACAGGGCAGAGCAGCCCCGAACAATATCGCGCATGCTCAAACCATTCCAGCTCGAAGGTCTTGCCTGGATGAAGGCCATGGAGAGGACCGAATGGAAGGGGGGCCTCCTTGGGGATGAGATGGGGCTGGGAAAGACGATACAGGCAGTCTCGCTCATCATGTCCGACTATCCGGCGAAGCAGCCCTCTTTGGTGCTGGTACCGCCCGTCGCCCTGATGCAATGGCAGTCGGAAATCAAGGACTACACCGACGGCACTCTCAAGACGTTTATCTTCCACGGCACCAACCAAAAGTCCAAGGCCATGACGGTTAAGGACCTCAGAAAGTTTGATGTCGTCATGATGTCTTACAACAGCCTGGAGTCGATGTACCGCAAACAGGAGAAGGGCTTCAAGCGCAAGGACGGCATGCACAAGCAGGGTAGTGTCATACATGCCATCAAATTCCACCGCATCATCTTGGACGAGGCCCACAGCATCAAGACAAGAAGCACCATGACAGCCAAGGCCTGCTTCGCCCTCAAAACCGACTACCGCTGGTGCCTCTCGGGCACGCCTCTTCAGAACCGCATCGGCGAGTTCTTCTCGCTTATCCGATTCCTAAACATTCGGCCCTTTGCCTCGTACCTATGCAAGCAGTGCCCCTGCGAGACGCTGGAGTGGTCGATGGGTGCCGACAAACGATGCTCGCACTGCCACCACGCGGCAATGCAGCACGTCTCTCTCTTCAACCAAGAGCTGCTGAACCCCATTCAGCATTACGGAAATGCAGGACCGGGCTTCCGAGCGTTCAAGAAGCTGCGGTTGCTGACGGATCGCATCATGCTCCGTCGTCTCAAAAAGGACCACACCAACTCGATGGAACTGCCCGTCAAGGAGATTTACATTGACCGGCAATTCTTCGGCGAGGAGGAGAATGACTTTGCCAACAGCATCATGACCAGCGGCCAGCGCAAGTTTGATACGTATGTGGCCCAGGGCGTGATGCTCAACAACTACGCCAACATATTTGGCCTCATCATGCAGATGAGACAGGTGGCCGATCACCCAGATCTGATCCTCAAGAAAAACTCCGAGGGCGGGCAGAATGTCCTGGTGTGCTGCATCTGCGACGAGCCGTCCGAGGATACAGTGCGCAGCCGGTGCAAGCATGACTTTTGCAGGGCCTGCGTGGCGAGCTACGTTCGGTCGACGGAAACCCCGGACTGCCCACGCTGCCACATCCCGCTGTCGATCGATCTGGAGCAGCCCGAGATTGAGCAGGACGAGACGCTTGTCAAGAAGACGTCCATTATCAACCGTATCAAGATGGACAACTGGACGTCGTCGTCCAAGATTGAGCTCCTGGTCCACGAGCTGCACAAGCTTCGCTCGGACAATGCCACGCACAAGTCCATCATATTCTCCCAGTTCACGACGATGCTGCAACTCATCGAGTGGCGTCTGCGCCGTGCAGGAATCACGACTGTCATGCTCGATGGCAGCATGACTCCCGCCCAGCGCCAGGCATCTATTGAACACTTCATGAACAATGTAGATGTCGAGTGTTTTCTCGTATCCCTCAAAGCGGGCGGTGTTGCTCTCAACTTGACGGAGGCTTCAAGAGTATTCATTGTTGACCCGTATGTCCTTCTCTCCTTCTCCCCCCTCTATGTTTATCCGTCTGCTTCCTCTGTTTGCTAACTCTTGGTAAAAATAGGTGGTGGAACCCGGCTGCAGAATGGCAATCGGCCGACCGTTGCCACCGCATAGGCCAGACACGACCCTGCACCATTACGCGGCTGTGCATCGAAGACTCGGTCGAGAGCCGCATGGTACTTATTCAGGAGAAGAAGACGAGCATGATTCATTCGACGGTGAATTCCGACGACAAGGCCATGGAATCTCTTAGTCCCGAGGACATGCAGTTCTTATTCAGGGGATCTTGACCAACCCCCCCAACTTCCAACCCCAACCTCTCTTTTTCTCTTCTTCTATCATTATCTATCTCACCTTTTTTTTTTAAAAAAAAAAAAGATGAGCGAAATCACAATGTGCTTTTGAAACATGATTACGTTTTCTGGATGAGATTCCTGTATAGTACAGTTCAGATAAAGTATTGGAGTATTTGTGTGTAGAAGAAGAGGTTGAATTGTATTGTTTCATCTGAGCTTCTCGTACCAATGTGCATACAGCTCAATGACATATAACGCGACACACATCACGAATAATCCGTGTCGAGAACAGCAACACTAAGCTCTGGCAGCTCAAATGTAAACGCACCATCAGACCCGGCCTCGAGGATAGATGTGTTGGTGTTGACGACGTTCTCGCCGGTGAAGGGGTCGTTGAAAGCGTAGGGGTCATCAGCCGTGAGCAGAGTCAGCTGGGCCTTTGTGCCGGCCTCGAGACCGTCAAAGACGACGGAGAAAGGCACGGGGGCGTGGTCGGTGGTGTTGTAGACGGCAGCCTTGAGGATGCGCGAGCCCGTAGCGTTCTGGGTGCCGGCGACGTAGAAGGCCGGGTCGAAGACGGGGTCCTGGACAGGGAGGGTGTGAGAGATGGGATGGGCGGCGAACAGGCTCCAGACGTAGGCGGAGGTGGAGGCGGTAGTGAGGGAGTGGTCGGCAGCGAAGCTGAGGATGGTGGCGGGCCACTGGGAGCGGTCGAGGCTGCGCAGGACGGGGGCGTAGAAGGTGGCGATGAGGCGGTCGGCGTTGCGCTCGTAGCCGATGAGGCTGACGGCCTCGGCGACGGACCCGATCCACCAGGGGAACGGCATCATGGCGTTACCATCGGTGGGGGACGTGGTCACGCCGTTGGGAGCTGTGGCGGCCACCTCGCCGACGATGTGGGGCACGTCGTTGTTGTCGAACAGGTTGAAGCCGGTGACCAGGTTGTCGGGCAGAAGGTAGGCGTGATAGTCGCCCACGGCGCCAGCCGGAATGTCCTCGTAGCCGTTTGTCGTGGCCCCGGACGAGATGACGGTCAGGTCCGGGTAGGCGTCGCGGATGGCGGAGAACATGAGCGGGAAGCGGTAGGCCTTGTACGAATCCCATCCGCCGTTGAGCCAGTCCTCGTTGCCGACCTCGACGTAGCGGAGAGGGAAGGGTTCTGCGTGTCCGAGAGAGGCGCGCACCGCACCCCACTTGGTGGTGTTGGCGCCGATGACGAACTCGATCTCGGCCAGGGCATCGTCGATGATGGGCTGGTAGTCGGCTTCCGAGACTATGTCGCCGTTCAGAGCGAGGCCGGCGTATACTCCCACCACTTTGTTCGCCGTCAGCCACATTCAGAGCAGAGGGAAAGAAGAAGAAGAAAAAGAGACCCCGGGGGGGGGGGGGGGGGGGGGGGGGTAAGGGCGAAGGGGAAGTATGAGAAGAAAAAACGAAGGGAAACATAACAAGGTTCAAAGGCGACCGAAGGGAGGATCAAAAATGATCAGCAAATTCAAAAAAGGAGAAAGCGACTGAAGGGAGGACCGAGAAAGAAGAGGAAAAATAAAATACCGATTTCAAGATCCATATCTTCCGCCCAGAGGAGATACTCTAGCAATCCCAAGCCGTTGGTCTGCTGATAACCCCAGACACCATCGAAACCAGGACGGCCCTCGAGGTCACCGAGGGTATTCTTCCAGTCCCACCACGTCTTCCCCGTCAGGCCCTCGAGCATGTTCCCTCCGGGCAGGCGGATCACGGAAGGGTTGAGAGCCTTGAGGGCGTCTGCCAGGTCGATCCGTAGACCGTTGGCGCGACCCTTGTACGTCGGTGGGAAGAGGCTGATGAGGTTGAGGTTTAGGGAGTCACCGGTCAGACCCTACAGGGGGGAAAAAAAGGTTAGCTTTTTTTTCTCTCTCTTTTTTCTCCCTCTTTTTCCCTCTTCATTTTCTCTCTCTCTCTCTCTCTCTCTCTCTCCCCATGTCCTTCTCGTGTGTGTATAGGGGGGTAAAACAAGGAGGGGAAGGAGGGGGGGTGGCAGAAAGAAAAACATACAGAAGGATCAAACGTCAGCGTAAATGTATTGTTGCTACTAGGCGCATCGACGTCGGGCACAAGCTCAAAGGTATGCTTGACCCATTCATCCTCCTGGGCGAGGCTGTCAACCTCGACCGAGGCGAAGACCTCGTCGTCCACCAGGGCGCTCTGCAGGCTGGCCGTGAAGACGCCGTCGTACCCTCCGTATACCCAGAAGCTGCCGGTGTACACCTGTCCGTGGGTGACTTGGATGCCCCAGTAGCCGTCGTTGCTCAGGCCGGCGGCAGAGACAGAGCCGGAGTCGCCGGGCTTGACGGTGACGGACACGTCGAGCGCGTCGGAAAGCGGAGGGCCCTCCCCGTCCAGGGACAGGACCGTCCCCTCGCCTACGGCCGTCCACCCGTCCAGGGAGGCGGGGAAGGCGGTCGTGTTCTGGAAGGCCCGGTTGCGCACCAGCTCGGCGTACACGCCGCCGTCGCCAGAGTTGGAGATGTCCTCGTGCAGGAAGCCGTACTGGTGTCCCGACGTTGCGTTTCCGCCCGACGAAGACACCACGATGTCTAGGGCTGATGAGCCGGTCGCCAGTGCTAGGCTACCGAATATGAAGGACCTCATCGTCGGGTTTGTTTCTTTCTTCTTCTTCTTCTTCTTTCTTCTTGTAACTGACTTATGGCTCTTCACTCTTGATGTCTTTCCATCCTGACGGGTAAGGGAAGCCTAATGCTATTTATACTTGTTTTCTTCTTCCTTCTTCCCCCTCACCGCGACATTGCGTCCCGGTCGAAGTCTATTCTCTCTCCGAGATCGAATATCACTTCCCCGAAAGACATAATGTGGGGAGACCCAATGTGGAGAGACTTCGGGGAACGCGGGGGAGGAGAAGAGGAAGAAAGGTGGGTTTTTGTTTCTTCGAGATTATCGTATGAGTAATCCACACACACCTTGTTCGAGAGATGGCTTCTTGATTCGCGCGCGTAACGATGATAGTTGGAGAAGTTGCTGGATCCAGGTTGCCCCGATGCAACGCTGCACGGAGAATAGAAATCGCACTGCCGCGTCATGGGACCGCGTATGCGGCCTTAAAAAGACACGTCCCAATATTGCCTGTATATGTAAGTGGTGCCATTGCCGGAATATACTTGTCCGAGTTGACGATTCGAGCGGTTGCAATTTGACCGGGTTGGGTTATGACGAAATCAGGTCACGACTTCAGGACTGTGCATAGCCAAGAGACCCAATACGAGAACATCTATGCGGGCAAGTAGACATGGTGAATAGAGAGACATGGGGGGGGGAGCGTGGTGTGTGGTTGAAAGGTCCGAAAGATGGCATGACATGCACATACGTACGACTCCTCTGGACCTGAATGTATTCAAAAATAAAGATAAAATAAAAAACAGATGAGGGGGAGGGGGAGAAAACGATGTAACCCATTTTCCATAGTTTTCCCGTCTATCCATCCAATCACACAAACCTCCAAGAAGACAGGAATCCAGACCGGGAAACGAGTAAGGCCATATATGGGCTGCACTCAGACGCAAGTCAGGAGTACAACCAAGTCCTCATCACAGATCAACCAAGGCCTGAGCCCCGGGCTCACTGCAGACGTAAATCACGTCATGAGCGTTGGAGAAGCCGTTGAACTGGGTGGCCGAACACTTGGTATAGGCGCCCATGTGCTCAAAGTACAGCCAGTCACCTACGTCGAGCACCGTGCCGAACCGGACGCTCTCGGTGATGCGGTCGATGCCGTCGCACGTGGGGCCCCAGACCGAGTACTCGATACCCTCGCCGACCGAGACGGGGTGGGACGGGGCTGTGTCGTACATGGTCTTTCCCTGAGCGCGCAGGATGCGCGGCACGGGGTTCTGGTGGTCAAAGATGATGCTGGAAAAGTTTCCGTACACGCCGTCGTTGACGTAGGCCATGTAGCTCTTGCCGTCGAGGGTGGGGTCCTCGACGGTGCGACGAGCGATGATGTTGCAGGCGATGGTGAAGGCTGACGACACGTAGTACCGGCCGGGCTCAGCGATGATGTCGACGTTGGAGCCGGCCGGGAAGTACTCGTCGAGGACGCCGCTGAGGACGGCAGCCATGTCCTCGAACGAGTCGCCGCAGAAGCCGCCGCCGACGTCCAGGGTGCGCATGTGGAAACCGCGCTCGCGGCCCTGCTGGAAGACGACGTGGGCGTCGCGCACGGCCTTGATGAAGGCCATGGGGTCCGAGGCGCCGGAGCCGACGTGGAAGCTGACGCCGACGACGTTGAGGCCCAGGTCGCGGGCGAGGGTCAGCAGGCCCTCGGTCGTTTCCATGGAAGTGCCGAACTTCATGCTGAGGCGGCACAGGCTCGACGTGTCGTCGGTGGTGATGCGCAGGAACAGCTCGGCCCCGGGGAAGAGCTTGGCGATCTTGTAGAGCTCGTCGGCATTGTCAAACGTCATCTGCTTGACGCCGACCGACTTGACGAAGCGGACGTACGAGTTGGTCTTGCAGGGCTGGGCGTAGATGATACGATCGGCCGGGGTACCGATGGACAGAACCTGCTCAATCTCCGTCTTGGAGGCGCAGTCGAAGCCGGTTCCGAGCTGGGCAAGGAGCTTGAGGACCCTGGGATCGGGGTTGCACTTGACGGCGTAAAAGGGCTTGATGCGGGGCAGGTTCTTCTTCCAGCGGAGGTGCTGGCGGTAGACTTCGCCGAGGTCAGCGACGAAGAAGGTATCCTCGTCGCCAGGGTCGCACATTTCATGGTCAATGGCCTCGACGCGCTGGTGGAGAGCGTTTCCGATCAGCTTCTTGGGGTCGATGATGGCGGCACCATGGGTGGCGGCGGTCATGGCGGCGGTCCTGGCGGTGGAGTCGTCGTCGGGGGCACCAGCCTCCACCAAGAGGTGTGGACTCTTTATAAAATTGTCATGATTGTTCTGGGTATGGCAATCGATGGTGACAGTTGACATGACCATATCCCAGGTGTTGAATCGCACAGAGCGCTTTATTCAAACAGAAGTCTTTCTTCGGCGTCCGGCTGATGGTCTCTCTGAGAGGAGTGGGGGGGAGAGAGAAACAGCTCGGTGAGAGGTGGTGTATATATATATATACCAGTGAGGATATAAATATATATATATATATCAAAAAAGAGTATCTAGTCGTCGTTGGGGACTTTGGTTTTAGGGTGGTCGAAAGCGATAGCAGACTATTCCCTCAATGGACTGGCGAGGCCTCCACGACTCCTCCTCGGTAAGAGGAAGAGCGACTGGATTCCTCCTATGCGGCAGCTGGCGGTTGGGGGGGAACGGTGGGGACCGACGATGGTTGTTGCGGCGCGAGCCGGGAATTGGCAGTAGCAGGATGACGTCGGCGAGCTTAGGAGTGAACAGGAGCGGAAGGGGGAGGAGGCGGGATGCCGTTGATGATGTGGCTCGGCTTGCGCAGGCTGAAATCACCGTCGCTTACGGCCAAGAAAGCCGTGTTGGGCAGGAATAGAGGCCTTTGGATGGGGCCAAACCAAAGGCGAGTACGTTCGTCTATTGTCCCGGTGAGGACTCTTCTTAGCGGGAGGCAACCAAGACTATCGAAGCTGGGAGGGAGCCCAAATGTCAGTCACGTCGTTTGCAAATGACACTCATACATATAATATAGTTCGTAGTCATGTGAGAGGGCGTTTCTGGATGGAGAAGATAAAGAAATGTTGACAATACCTGGTATCTCAGAGAAAATAAAAAAGCCTCAGGGTCTCGAACTTGGTGGATTCAAGAAGAGACTACGAAAGGACCAGAAAGATAGAGCAGACGAGCCGAGGTTTTCACAAATGATGCAACACACGGGAGATGTAGCAAGAACGAGGCAAAAAAAAAATTGTGCGCGGGAGGTTATGAAAGAGAATGTGGAAGAAAGATGGGGGGCCGCGTAGCTTTTATTGTGCTAGGTGGGTTGTCCGAATTTGGAGGCGGAGGGGAATTTTTTCACACACACACACACACACACACAGCAAGTTTTTTGAGGGGGGGGGGGGGCAAGAGCGATGGACGAAAAAAAAAAAAAGATTGTGGGTGTGATTGGTCAGTCTCGGTACATCGTCCCATATTTTATCCGCAGGTACAGGTGCAAATTTGTTCCTCTACAGCTTATAGGCTGCAGCCCAACGCCTGTGGCTGTAGGTACATTTAGATAGATGCTGGCTTGTATTATTCCTCTGCTTACCCGACAAATCGACGTTGAACTCAGTGGCCGTCAAGGCTCACCCTGTCCACTACAATCACATTACCTACCTACGGCCACTGCTAGGCGAATCACCGATAGCAGTCACCACCTGCGACGCTCGCTACTACCCACTGTAGCGTCCTGTACAGCGTGCTGCATTGCATGGATGCGCAGGTATTACAAACCACGAATCCCAGTGGTCTGCCTTACCCGGTACTAGTACCTCGTCTTACGCCACAGATTCTGACGTCAACCAAGTGTACGGTACATATTATCTTTGATCTCTTCATGCGCTCAGACCGCAATTCGCATCGTCGATGCTTCTGCTGCACAAGTGCCAAGTGGTGAGTGGTGATGGTAACTAGTACTGCACCGAGTGCAGATTAGTGGCAACGTGCTCGTACATATTACATGTAAATCACACATACACACCAGTTTACCCCATCTAGCCACATCCAACATCCAAATATCTCTGTCTATATGTACAATGGATTCCTCGTATATGAATTCCCTCATATTCCCATCTCTCTCTCTCCCCCATATCTCCCTATTTGTGCATACGCATATACATGTAAATATACATAGATATATATACATGTATATATATACATATATCCCATCATATCCCATCACTGCCCCGACTGCCCACTCAGCACCACATGTCCCATCATGACGTACTACAGCGGTCGTACCCACTCATCTTCCCCCTCCCCCCCCCCTCTCAACTCGTCAACTCGTCAACTCGTCAACTCGTACTCCATCCTCTTCTATCCGTACACTCCGCACGTAGCCTGCAACTCTCATGTCCTCGACTCTTTAGTCCGGTAACCCAAGGCTCAAGGAATCCCGGTTCTGAGAGAGTGAGCCTGTTTTCTGGCAAAACCCCCAAGACCACCAGTCCCCCCCCCCCCCACTTGAAGCCCCGATATTCACACACCGCCAGCTTGATGCAATTGGTAGCTCCTCAGCCAGGCGAATGTTAGAACAAGAGACTCCCAAAAGAGAAGGGGAGAAGAAAACGAGAAGCGGAAGAATGACAAGACGAAAGGGCAAGAAAAAAAAGGGGGGGAGAGGGAAGAAAGAGGGTGAAGAAGTGACAAGAGGAAAGAAGGGAAAGGGATGATGATGCTGGAGGGAAGGGAAACGGGACGCGGAAAGCATCTTTATTCTTGCGTTGCTCTGTGATCTTGATGTCATTGATTAGACAGGAAGATGTATCGTATCTGAACGCGTCGTCATGTGCACGTCAAGCAAGGAGAACGTGCAGCATCACTCGAGTAGGAATATTCTTCTCTATGAGTAGAGGTAGACTATTATACAATATATCAGTAGAGGTACAGATCCGCATGGTCATACAGAGATTCTCATCATTCCCCCTTGATATCCATGTCGCGCACCACCCACGATCCGTCAACCCAACCAGCCTTCTCGCCCAGGAAAGCCGTGCGGGCATCCGTCGCGTCGACGAGATACTTCTGCGCCGCCTCCCTGACCTGGTCCCTCGTGACGTCGAGCAGCTGCTCGCGGCGGATCTGCTGCATCCTATCCGTCACGCCAGACGTGAAGCGCGACATGCCCTCTTGGTTGACAGATTTGGGCGCGTCGACGCCTTGGAACACCGATATCTTGGCCTCCTCGATGTCGCGGTCCGACCACTCGCGGTCGCGCGCCCACCGTCCTGCGCCGCGCATGATGCCCAGCGTGTTCTGCGGGTTGGGGTCGCGGTACGAGTAGAAACCGAACAAGCCGTCCAGCGCCCGCGAGTACGCGCCGCCACCGTAGGCTCCACCCTTTTCGCGGATCTCGTGGTGCAGGTGCTTGTGCGTGAGGAGCTGCGAGAGGATCTGGAGCGGCGCGCCGTCGGCCGACGTGTACGACGTCGTCGACACCGCCAGCCCGCCGTAGTACACCTGATAGGGCAGCGGGAAGAAGGTCTTGCTGTCCCTGGGGAGGGGCGTGGGTGTCGCCACGTCAGCGTTGGCCTGGCCCCGAGGGAGGCCGCTGAGCCATCGCTGCAGCGACGCAGCGTTCTCGCCGGCGCTCTCCTGTCCGCACGTGATGGCCGTGCGCATATTGCCGCTCGCCAGTGCCAGAGCCTGGATCTGCTTGAGCTTGGAGATCACGTCCTGCAGCCCGTCCGATTCGGGCCGGTTGGCCAGCTGTGTCACCAGCTTGACCTGCGACATGCCGGATACCTGCTGCCTGAGCCACGCGCTGCGCGTGAGGTTGGACTCGGCAGCACCCATGGCGAACCGGTGGCCTGACGACGCGATGTCGCTGACCAGCCCGTCGGCCGACGCCTGCAGCAGCTGGCGGATGCGGAGCGCCGCGTCGGGGCTGTCAAAGTCCGTCTCCAGCACCATCTTGTGCAGGAGGTCGTACATGGCCGGCACGTTGGGGTCCAGCGCCATTCCAGTAAAGATGATGCCCTCGCTCGCCTGCTGGAAATCGGTCGGCGACGGTGTAGAGTGGTAGCCTATCGATACACCGCCCGTCTTGAGCTTGATCAGGTCCTCGAGCTGCTCCGTCGTCATGTCCTTTGTGCCGAGGCGCATGATGCTGTCCGTGAACAGGGGTATAAGCTCCCGCAGGTCGTCGGGGAGGTTGTCCAGCGTCTTGATGGCGCGGAAATACGTCAGACCGTTGGTCGGCGCCTCGTGCCACTGCACTGGGACGCCGTCCACCTCGTCGTCGCGCACAATCGTCGGCTCTTTCCTGCGAGGGATGTCCTTGACGTAGACGGTGGGAAGGCAGCTCAGGTCCTCCGTGTTGGTCTTGCTCTGCTCGTGCAGGAGCGCCTGCTCCTGCTCCTCAAACTTGGCATGGGCCGCCTCCTCGCTTCCGGCCTCTTGCACGGCCGCCTTGATGCGCGACGCAAGACGCTCCTCCTCTTCCTTGGCCAGCTCCTCGCCATACGTGGGCGACGGCGCCATGGTGAACGTCAGCGTGTTATCGTTGAGGAGGTATCTGTCGATCAAGCCCTCCAGGTAGTCACCCTCGGCTAGCTTGGCCTTGAACCGGTTCAGGTTCTCACTCCAGGCCAGCGAGTCGAACGGATCCACGCCGTTGAACCACTTGGGCTTGAGGCGATTGAGCATCGAAAATCCGAAGTTGGCCGTCTTGTGCTTAAGCGACAGCTCCAGCTGGTGCAGCGACCCGTCAATCTTGGTCTTGTCGAAGCCCTTGTCACGAGCCTCGCGCAGGAGCTCCTGGATCCTGGCCTTGAGCTTCGGCACATCCTCCTCCTGCATGCCCGTCAGGCCGATGGAAAAGATGCCGCGCTTGGCCGAGCTGTCGTAGCCGGCGTTGGGGCTGTAGTCGGCACCCAGACCCGTCTCGATCAGGCCGCGGTACAGCGGAGACCCGTAGCCGTCCATCAGGAGTGTCGAGAGGAGCGAGATGGAGAACGATTCGAGCACGTCGGTCGTGTCGCCCGTCACCCACGATACCGAAGACTTGTACTGTCGATCGGCGTCCACCAGCGGGTCCAGGGGCCCCTGCAGCGTCACCTCACGGGGCCCGTCCAGCTGCGCCGGCTCGTGAATCTGGCGGTCGGCCTCGATCTTGTCGAACGAACGCAGGCGTGCGTCAACCTCCTTGAGATGGTCGGCGAGAGGCAAGTCACCGTAGGTAAAGACCTTGGCGTTGCTGGGATGGTAGTTCTCGGCATGGAAGCGCCTGAGCTGCTCGTAGGTGAGGTCGGTGATCTTCTGCGGGTCGCCACCCGAGTTGTTGATATCCGGGAAGATGTGGTCCTGGAAGCGGATGTAGTAGATGTAGCCGGCATCCGACATCTGCCCCTTCATTTCGTTGTAGACAACACCCTTGAAGACGAGCTTCTTGCTCTCCTTGTCCTCGGCCAGGGGGTTCTCCGGGCCGATTCGCCATCCCTCCTGAGTGAAATCAGACTGCTTTAGCAGGGGGTGCAGCGTCGAGTCGAGGTAGACGGACATGAGGTTCTTGAAATCCTGCTCGTTGGTCGTGGCAAAGGGGTAAAAGGTGTGGTCCGATGCGGTAAAGGCGTTCATGAAGTTGGACAGAGTGCGCGGCAGCATCTTGAAGAAAGGGTCGCGGATGGGGAATCTGTCACCGCCGGGGAAACAATGTCAGTTTCTGCAGTCTCTCTTTCTGTCTCCCCAGACCGATAGAGAAGCGTACTTTTCACTTCCGCACAGGGTGGTGTGCTCGAGAATGTGCGGGACGCCCGTGTCATCCGGAGGGTTTGTCTTGAAGCCAATCGAAAAGACATTGTTGCTGTCCTCACGAGCAATATGCAGGTAGTCGGCGCCCGTCTTGTCGTGCTGGAGATGCAGGGCCGTCAACTCGAGCTCAGGGATGTGCTGAGAGCGGACGAGGGTGAAGCCATGAAGCTTGTCGCCGGCCTTGGGGAACTGCGACAGATCCGTGACGGCCTTGCGAGCAGCGCTGGCGGCGTTTCGTAGCATGGCTGTGACAAGATTAGAGAACTAGTAATACAGTATCAAACAAGAAGAACAGAGCGACGATCTTGATATGATTCCAAGATCAGCACGCAGATGAAATAGAGGAAGGGAGAGGATGGGAGAGAGTGTGATGTCAACAACCCTTCTACCGCGATGCTTGTCGGGGAAGAAGAGGAAAGAGTCAGGGACCCTTGACCCTCGACCCTTGGGCCTTAGCCCTTGGCAGCAGTAAATTGTACATGTATGTAATCACGATTAAGCGATTAGTCATGATTCCAAGTTCCCACGGCGGGGCAGCTCCGTGGTTCCGAGAAAGACGAAGACAAAAATGTTAGTGCAGGGTAAACAAACAGCGCAGGCTTGCGTAGCAATTGGTCCGGTGCACTAACAGAGAACCTTCCTTTCCACCTGTTAAGCCACTATTATCACCGAGAAAACCACCAAACAAGTCTTCACCCACAACCTTGACGGCCCTTTCCCCCCGCCTCCCCCAATCCAGCCATATCGAAAGCCTTGTTCTACCACGCCCAAGAAAAAAAAAAAAAGAAAAAAAAAAAGACGTGGCAAACCCCGGTCGTATGCGGAGCCACGTCCCACTATATTCGAGTCTCGACAACTTCAACTTGCACACATACCTCGCCCTGTCTATAGAAGCCCTCCTCTTCCTCCCCTCGCACAGACTCTCCGTACCGACAGTCCTTCGTCGACAAGAGAACGGACTCGAACAACGCTCGAACTTTGACGCCATCGAGGGACCCTCGCCGCCACCGATCCATCATTACCTTGCCGATACTACGTTCAAGGGTTCTCGAGCCCACTTCCCGCAATCGAGCCCGTAAATCAGATCTGCTCCAAACGTGTGACGTCTCCGGGACTGGTTCTTCAATGCAACTTGCACCCTTGGCAGTGATCACTGTTCTCGCGACGGATCCGGATCCCAACATCAGGCGCGATGCCTTCGAGCCACATGGAGGCCGCCCTGACTAATGGCCACGATGACGTCTCACACACCACCACCGCAGCCGGCAAGAAGGCCGCAGCGGCGGCCGCAGCAGGCTCGACAAAGGCCAAAAAGACTGCGCCCAAATCGAACGACGAGGCTTCGCGACTTCTCCAGGCCAGGATATCCCAGCTCGAGCAGGACGCAGCGGGAGAGAAAGATCAGGAGATGGAGATTGGTGAGTTTTCCTCCGGTCCCTCTCTCAACTGATTACCAAATGCGGCTTGGTCGAGGGAGAACAATTTCTAATGTATGCCGAACTCGACTTGGCCCTCCACCTATAGAGCGCGAAGTGAAGCGAGCCAACCGAGATCTCATGCAGCAAGTGTCCAAGATGGACAACATGCAGAAGATCGATTACTTAACGAAGCGCTCGAGCGAATTGTTGGCCGACATGCGACGACTGGAAAAAGAGAACCAAAAGAATAAGAGACGAGGGGACACGCTGCAGAAGGAGCGGGACGGTGGCCGGACCGAGCTCAGCAAGACGGTCGGCCTCAAGGAAAAACTCGAGAAGCTGTGCCGAGAACTTCAACGAGATAATAACAAGATGAAGGTTGGTGGGGTGTCGCTGCGGACACGAGACTCGATCAAGATCAAGGGAACGAAGCCGTGCTGATGAATGCCGGGCTTCTACAGAATGAGAATAAGGAACTCCAGACGGCGCAGAAGCGCAACCACATGGCCTGGGATGAGAAGTATGCGACGGTACTATCTAAGCTGGAAGGCTATCAGGAAGACAAGGACACACCCAAGAAGTTGGTTGTGGATATGACGATGGAGGAGTTGTGAGTGCTTTTCCCCCATCTCTCCCGCCGCTACCGTGGGGGACTGACAAGACGGGAGTTTGACGGTGTTAACAAGGGACAGATTCAAATCACGTTTCAAGTCATTTATCGATCAGTACGAACTACGAGAACTGCACTTCCACTCACTCATGCGAACAAAGGAGCTCGAGGTGCAGTACCACATGGCACGGTACGAACGAGAGAAGAAGGGCGCCGAGACGGAGAGCGCCAAGGCGCGTCAGCTCCAGGCGCAGGTGCAAGCCTTTACCAAGACGGAGACGGAGCTGAGAAACCAGCTCAATGTCTATGTCGACAAGTTCAAGCAGGTGAGCAGTAGCTACATGTCCGATGTCCGACTACTATGAGGGATCAATAGACTCATGGACCGATGGATCAACGACTAAACTCTCGATCTAGGTGGAAGACACTCTGAACAATAGCAATGACCTATTCCTCTCGTTCCGCAAGGAAATGGAAGACATGTCCAAGAAGGGCAAGCGACTGGAAAAGGAGAACGAGGGGCTCAAGAGGCAAAAGGAGGCTACGGCGGCCAACATCCTCCGCATGGCCGAGGAGCGCCAAGAGTTCAAGAAGAAGTTTGAGGCGGGCGAGAAGAAGATGAGCAAGCTGATGAGCATCATCCAGGGCATGCAACAGCAGGGTAGATCTGTGCCTCCCGCCGTTATCGAGGGCCAGCAACAGCAACAGTCTGGTGGTGGTGCTGGTGCTTCAGATGTTCCGACCGCTGGTGCTGCCACTCATGCTGATGAGAGCGAGTACTCGGATGAGGAGGAGGAGGAGGAGGAGGATGAGGAAGAGGAGGAGGAACTAAGCGAGTTTGATGACGAGGACGAGGACACCGAGGAGGATCCGCAGCCGTCGGAGCAGAGTGCGCGCGTAAGGTACGGACCGGAACGCCCGCCACATCAGCAGCCTCAGACCAAAGTCAATGGACATTAGTCAGGTATTCAACCATGCATACCATCGTCCTATCATTCAGCTGTCTGCTGTGCTTTTCGCTCTCTCTTTCTGTATCCCTCCGGGAACCTCTGGGGATATGCCATTAGTAGTAGTAGTGGTGGTGGTGATATCTTTCCTCACTTGGTATCAAGCATTGAGCATTGCAAAAAAAAACATAAAGCAAATAATTCAAAGATCCAAGACTATATCCTAATCGTGAAGAACAAGTCCAAAATCATGCATGGTGATTGTCAACTCTGATATGACGGTGATGACTTAATGGTGGATAACTCGTATTCGCACTACGTAATAGCAGCACCCCCCCCACATCTGAACACTTGGACACTTTTGGCTCCCGTCTTCTCCCCCAAGGCGCAACGCGTCCCGTCTTTGCAAACACCAACATCAACACTAACAACCCCCCAACCAGTCCATCCGTCAAACAGCCATGGACTTTCTTCAAGTGAGTACCATTTATTTGAACGTGCTGAAAAGCGAAAGAAAGGAGGAGTAGGGTGAGAAGAAGAAGAAAAAGAAGAAGACGCGACTGACAATAGACCACAGCGGCTCGCACGGTTCTTAGACCGTCCCCTCTTCCCGTGGAAACGACTGATCATGGGCTTCTCAATAGGGCACTATGCGTTCGAGTCGTTCCTGACGCTGCGGCAATACTCGGTTCTGCAGCGAAGCTCCCCTCCGGCCGTGCTATCAAAGGAGATCAGTGAGACGAAATTCACCGAGTCGCAGGAATACGGGCGGGCCAAGGCGCGCTTCAGCCTGGTGGACGGTCTGTGGGACCAGGTGCAGAATCTGGCCTTCATCCACTTCGACGTGCTGCCCAAGCTGTGGTCGTTCACTGGTGACTTGCTGCTCCGGTGGGCGCCGGCCCGGTTCACGGGCGAGATCAGCCACTCGATCGCCTTCGTCTTCGGTCTCATGCTCGTGCAGCAGGTCCTCGGTCTCCCCAGCAAGTACTACCACACCTTCGTGCTAGAGCAGCGGTACGGGTTCAACAAGTCCAGCCCACGCCTGTTCTTGGTCGACATGGTCAAGGGCAACGCCGTCACGTCGGTCCTCATGCCACCCATCCTCGCCGGCTTCCTCAAGATCATCCAGAAGACGGGCACGTCCTTCTTCTTCTACCTCTGGGCTTTCTCGGCCGGGCTGCAGATCTTCATGACGGCTGCCTACCCCACCTTCATCCTACCGCTGTTCAACAAGCTGTCGCCCCTGCCCGAGGGCGAGCTCAAGTCCAAGGTCGAGACCCTCGCCGCCAGCCTCGACTTCCCCCTCCACGAACTCTTCGTCATCGACGGCTCCCGCCGCTCCGCCCACTCGAACGCCTACTTCTTCGGCCTGCCCTGGAAGAAGCACATCGTCCTCTACGACACCCTCATCGACGGCAACGAGCCCGATGAGGTCAGGGCCGTGCTCGGCCACGAGCTCGGCCACTGGAAGCTCGGCCACACTACCCGCCTAATGGCCATCACCCAGGTCCACCTGCTCTACATCTTCGCCCTCTTCTCCGCCTTCATCGACAACCGCTCCCTGTACTCGGCCTTCGGCTTCGTCGCCCAGAGGCCCATCATCATCGGATTTCTGCTCTTCAACGACGCCCTCGCCCCCCTCGACATGGTCGTCAAGCTGCTCATGAACATCGTCACCCGCCGTTACGAGTTCCAGGCCGACAAGTTCGCCATGGACCTCGGCTACCAGACCGACCTGGCCAGGTCCCTGCTCAAGCTGCACACCCAGAACCTCAGCAGCCTAGACGCCGACCCCATCTACGCTAGCTACCACTTCTCTCACCCCCATCTTACCGAGCGTCTCAAGGCTCTCGGCTGGAAGGGTGACGAGAAGGTTGGCCCTGCTCAGCCTGCCGTTGTTGATGATGACGGCACTGTTGTCAAGGCTTCTGGAAGGGATGGGCTGTAGGTGCTGTCATTGGATGTATAGAGAGGGGAGGGGCGGGATTTTGTTTTGTGTATCCGATAGACGAAAGAAAGTGTCCAGCAAGATGCAATCGGCCTTGTATCATGCATGCCTTGTATATTAACAAAGGTCAGATGGTCCACCAATGAAATAAAAACAGAATAAAATAGAAACACAAAAAAGATACCATGCTTCTATCGTATGTCTCGTTGAATAGCAAGTCTAATCCTCCTCCGACTCATCACTGTCATCCGTATAATCGCCCTCTTCACCTTCCTCTCCATCATCGTCGTCGTCGTCGTCGTCGTCTTCCTCATCATCCTCTCCAACCTTGAGACCGTAATCGTCGTGGAAGTGGCTGAGCTCGTGGGTCTGCACCTTGTATCCCTGGCTCTTGAATCCGGTTTCGAGGCTCTGTGGTAGATGGTTAGTGCTTTGATCAATGGGAGTTACCAGACAAATGAGTGGAAAAGAAGGAGATAAAAGAGGGAACTCCACCTCTTGCATCAACTTGGCACATGTAATGACAACATTACTCTTCCCCGGCTCAAAGCAGGCGAGGATCAAATCGGACATGACAGCCTTCATCTCGTCAATCGTCACGTTCCTGACCCTGCTCATGATTTCCTTGCTCCAGTCGCGCGGCAGATCACGGATGACGGCCTGCACAAAGTTCTGCTGCGCGGCACTGGGCATGGTGGACTGCTCCTCGGCAAACGTGGTGACGATCTGGCTCATTGTGCCCTCGAGGAGGTGCCTGTCCACGTCGACCTCGCCGGTGGCAATCTTGCGGATGGCGTCGCGCGAGGCGGCAATGGCCTTGAAGACGTCCGGTGAGCGGTACACGCGGTACGAGAGCATTCCCGACTCGACGTTGCGCGAGAAGAAAGACCCGTAGGCGTACCCCGCGCCGCGGACGGCGTTCCACAGCGGGCCTTCGACTGTCTCGAGGTAGCCGATCGCCACCATGACGGCGGGGAGGCGGGGGTCGGCGAAGGAGAAGAGACCCGGGGCCGTGCTCACGCTGAAAGAGCTGTCTAGGGCCGTCATGGGAACAATGGTCACGCCGACGGATCCGGGATTCTTGCCCTCGTCGTTGAGGAGGCTGGACGGCTTGACGATGGGTACCATGGTGTCCTTGGGAGTGAGCACCTCGGACAGAATGTCCCACGACTCGAGCGGGGAGGGGAGGGTCTCGAGACGCGCAGTCACCAGGAAGCGCATGTTCTCAAAGGTGAAGAGCGACAGGCGCAGCTTCTCAAACCATCCAACCACCGTATCAGGCTCCTTCTCTAGAAGCTTCTTGAGGCGCTTGAGATACACAGCCTTGACGAGCGTCCGGCGAGCAATCGACATGGTGCTGCGCTCGAGGTGGATGGCCGCGTCAATCTCACCAGACATGGCGCGACCGTCGCGCTTTGACTCAGGAATGTCGGCCAGCTCTTTGGTGATGGCTGCCTTGAGCCGCTTGGGGTCGAATATGGCGTCAAATGCCATGGTCCGGATCCACTTGATGGCCGCCTCGTACTTTCCTGGCTCGACCGACATGCTGAGCATGATGCCATCTTGGTCCCCCAATTGGCGGGCCGAGCTGAGGCCGTAGCTGACCGTGTCGCGCTCCAGCTCCATGACAACCTGTTCAAAGTTGACCGTCTCGCCGTCCCGCTTGATGTGCGTGTTGAAGAAGTTGTCGTTAAGGATGGGCATCAGGGGCTTCAGCTCCACAGGTACGTTCGAGGTTCCAATGTGCACCGTGATGTGCACAAAGTTGCTCGGCACGTCCTCAAACTGCAGGAAAAGGGGCAGCTTGCCGGTGGGCGCGGCGTCGAGGAAGCTCTGAGCAGCGCCGCCTCCAGGACCGAGGGACTTGGCGTGGCCGGCACGGGCCGTGTCTGATTCAATGAAGTGGATGGACTCGGTGCCGGGGACACTCCAGCGGTCAAGCACAGAGGCAGGGATAGCCTCGTCGTTCTTCTTCTTGGCCTTCTCCAGCCTCTCTCCAAGCTTCTGGAGGCCTTCCTTCCCCAGCTCCTCCTTACGCTTAGCGATGCGTGCTTCCTCGTCGTTCTTGAGCTTGGTAGCCAGCTCGAGAGATGGCTTACCGAGGATGGACACGTGGTGGGCGTCGGCCATCCATTTGGACAGGAACGCACGCCACTCCTCGTCAGTCCACTTCTCCAGTGCGCCGTACTCGTCCAGGGACTGGAGCTCCCTCAGAGTCGATCCATCCCTCTTGCCGAAGAGGTAGTCGGTTATGATGTTGGTGGCGTAGAATGACTCGGAGACCTCGGCGTGGAAGTTGACCCTGCGCTTTTCACGCTGGATGCACTCACTCATGTACTTCATGTCCAGTGGCTTGGACGCGACCTCCTTGAGGAGCTCAAAGAGGCGCTTTTCGACAAAGTCGAGCTTCTCGGTGGCAACACCGGTCGGCTGCAGCCAGATGACGCTGTTGGGGCGCGAGTCCCACCAGTACGAGACGGAACTGGCCAGCTCCTCACGCTCAACCATGACGTTCTCGAGAATGGACACGGAAGAACCGCAGAGGTAGGTCAGCAGGACGCTCAGGGCCGTCGAGGCAATCATGTCAGCGCAGTCAGGGCCAAAGAAGCCGACGAGGATCTCGCCCACTGACTCGTCCTCCTCAGGGAACTCAGAAGTGGTGAGGATGGTCTCCTTGAGAGCCGGGGGCTGGGCGGAGTCGATCCAGGGCCTCTTGAAGGGTGCATCCAGTGGGGGTATATCATCCTTGATACTCTCTTCAAACTCGTCGAGGATCTTGAGAAGGTGCTCCTGGTCGGCCTCTCCGACAATGATGAGGCACAAATTCCGGGGCTGATACATGTCACGGTGAAACTGGCGGATACGATCCGGGCTGAGGGTGCGGAGGGCCTCGGTCATGCCACCAGTCTCGTAGCGGAAGCCGACGTTCTCGGGGTAGAGGATGCGGCGAGCCTTGAGGTCCATGATCTCTGCGCTCTGGAACTGGACGGCCTGCATCTCCGAGTAGACGACACCGGCATCTTTACCCTCGCCGTCGACATGCCAGACCTCGGTGACGATGCCCTCGTCGGTGATGGTGGGAAGGACAATGTGCTCGAGGTAGAGGGGCAAGACCTGGGCGAAACCATCCCAACCAGCCGTATCGAGGGTGTAAGCAGTATGATCGGTAGCTGTCCAGGCGTTTGTGCTCGAGTAGGCCCTCGAGGCGAGCTTATCTAGGAGACCCTTGTAGGGATGGTTCTTGGATCCCATGAAGACAAGGTGCTCCAGAGTATGAGGAGCGCCAGAGTCGTCGAAGATCTCGGTAGCTAGGGTGAAGTAGCCGTTGATCTTGGGACCCTTGCGGTCGGCGACAACGACCTGCATGCCGCTACGCTCGGAGACATACTGAGTGATGGTGCAGGGCGCATAGTCTGTCTTGAAGCTCTGGACCTGGCGGAAGCCAGGCTTGGCAGAAGGCATGATGGCCCTTGGAAGGGGAGGAAGCTGACGACAAGCTGTCAGTAGAGGCACCTGGAAGAATATATCAGAAAAAAAGCACAGCCGGAACATGTCAGTAACAGATGAGTTCCCCATGGGGAAAACCAGAGAGAATAGAGCAGCGTGTCGAGTAGTGGCCCGCGGCAACGATGAAGACGACGGCTAAGACGGGCGATGAAGACGACAAAGGCAACGAATAGAACAAGGGCCACCAGGACAACGAGGACAACGAGGACAACGAGGGCAACGAGGGCCACGACAAAGATGATCAAGTCATTGATAGTGCGGCATGGGATACGCCTCACACGGTCATATATGTCAAAATGACGATTCAGAATCAGGCCAAGATAGACGGCCAATACGGCGAGGATTCTGTCCATCACCCTGTCTCCTGATAGCTCTCTTGAGGGAACTCTTGGGGGCACTTTGGAGAATTATCTTGGAGACGAAGTACTCGGTTCTGGGATGGGGTTTGGGGGGTTGCAAGCAGGATGGTCGACCCCGCTGACATGACCATGCCAGAGACAGAGAGAAGTTTTGACGATGGCGGGGCAGCAAAGAGAAGCTGACGAGCAATGAATAGCACTCGAAAGAAGGAAGACAAAACAAGACACAGAGAGACGGAGAACAGAGTCCGAACTTACCGCGAAGAAAGTGCGTTGCGGATATCTCCACAGAATTTGCCTGATTGTGGCGTTTATATTCCGACAGGAGTGCGAGATGTTGATGAGAAACGGATAAAGGGTTGAAGTAAGAGTAGAGGAGAGATGGATGGATTGGGAAGTGCCTCTAAGAAAAAAAAAAAGGGTACGTACTTCTGCCCCGCGCTTATAGTGTGGTAAGAGCTTGTCGTCACTGTCAGTCAGCAGAAGAGGAGTGAGAGTGATTCAGAGAGAGCAGAGGATAGAGATACAAGAAATGCTAGTTACAAGGTAGAGATGGAATCTATTTCACTCACAGTCTTGTTCAGGCAGCTGGGGAAGGGGAGTCTTACATATATATACTACTAGTACAGATTAGAGTATACCGAGAAGTAGAACAATAGCTTGCGTCAATTGAAGACAATGCATCTAGAGCCTTGAATACATGTACACGGGGGGGGGGAGGGGGGGGGGTTCTCGGACCAGCATGAAGACAGAGTATTACATCTCTTGCTACTAGTGCTTTACGAGAGAATGATATTACATGTAATATAATTGATATCCATCTCAGTGAACGGAGAAGAGTTTCGGATGCGTCAGATGAAGGGGAAAATGAAGAAGTTAGAAAGGGAAAAGGTTAGAAAGAGAAGGAGATGAAAGAGAAGAAGGAAAAAGAGATGAAGGAAAAAGAGAAGGAAAAAAGAGAAGGAAAAGAAAAGAAAGAAAGAGAAGAAAGAGAGAGAGAGAGGAAAAGGAAGCAGAGGAAAAGAAAAGGAAATATTCAGTCGTTCCTTCCCCAGAAGCAAACATCTGCACCTGCCCGCACAGCATCAATAACCGCCCCTTTCCATTGGTCGGATCTATCTATTCGAGATCCACTCTATCGCCAGCTGGCACCTCTGCCTCAAACCAGCATCTGAAGCTATTTCTCTCTAATACCGTCTCTCGATTGTCACCCAACAGCATTCTTCCTCAACGGCCTCGGACCTCTTTCCCCGCCAGAACATGCGATAACTTATAGAGTCATCCGGAAACCTGTCCGGAAGCGCCCTCACCGTCCCGAATCCGAACGGATGCTTGCATCCCTGCCCACACACACACACACACACACACACACATACACACACACCAACATGGCCGACGCCAAGCACCTTAGCCACGCCATCGTGGCATTCGCCCTCGACGGCCAGTTCCCGGACGATATAACCGCTCTTCCGCCCATATCCCAGACCGACCTTGCCCCAGCAATCGCATCTCTCGACGAATCCAGAGCGAAGCTCGAGGTAGGGCCGCACACATGCCCATCCAAGCACGTACATCGGCTCACACATACTTTTTGTCTGACTGCTCTTCCCCTCCTCAGGCCGAGATCCATGCCATAAACGAGGAGACGAGAGGCGAGGTCAGCTCGTGGGAGAGGAATGCAAAGAGTCTGCAGGATGATATAATACGCTCCAAAGCCATTGCCAACGACATTATCCGCCAGTCTGAGGCCCCCGAGACGTCGGGGGAAGCTATTCAGGCTGCGGAGGAAAGGGCCGAGTTTCTCGCGCGAGAGGCCCAGTACAGCCAGCAGCTACATGGCGTGATCAAGGGCATACACCACGTCAATGGTCTTCTTGACAGTGTAGAGACTGCGAGCAAGGAGCACCGCATCCTCGACTCGTTGCGTCTTTTGGAGAGTGAGTGCTACGCTAATGCAGGCAGCGACCTCTGATGCTTGGAGAGGCACATGCATGTTCTTATCCTCGTGACCCACGTGCTGACTCTGGATAGAATCCTGGGATGCCATCGATCACCTGGGAGTCAGCAAGTCGTGCCGTGTCATGCGCTTGCTAGACATCCGTTCCTTTGAGCTCAAGTCTGATGTACATGCAGTTTTTGACCGACTATGGAAGGACCTTATCGAGGTGGACATGGGTGCCGGCCAGGTGGCTATCCACGACGCTGCTGGGGGTAAGCTACATTCCCGCACTGGATATCTACAATGCGACGGCGGACAGAAGCTGACTGCAAGGTAGACGACCAAATGACGCTGGCAGATGCCGTCATCGGATTCAAGGCTTACAAGGAGGTTGACGAGCGCATGGAGCAGCTCTGGAGAAACATCGACGCGGCCATTGTCACGCCTAGGATGGACGCAAAGGCCAAGTCCTTGCCCAAGTTCCAGACATCGGGCGACGCAATAGGGCTGGATGGCCGAGCGGACGGGTCCATACGGTCGCTGCTGGCAGACCTGGAGAAGATGCTGGCCCTCCTGGCCGCCAAGCTGCCGTCAGACCTCATCCCCCCCCTGTGCGGCTACATGATGGCCGACGTGGTACCGCGGCTGATACGAGATTGGTTGAGCCCCGCCGTGCCGACGTCGCTGGAGAACATGGCCGGGTTCGAGGAAACGATGGAGGACTCGAAGCAGTTCTGCGCAAGCCTAGAGCAGCACGGGTACACTGGATTCGAGGAGTTGCAGGACTGGGTCGAGAATGCGCCGACGGTATGGCTCAACAAGTGCAGGGAGACGGCCCTCGATACGATCCGCACAAGGCTGGCCAACGGCATCGGAAAATCGAGACCGGTCGAGAAGATCGAGAAGCAGATGGTTTCCCTGCCTGAGGGTAAAGAGCTGGCCACATCCGGCGCGGGAGCCGCTGCCGACACGAATGACTGGGGGGACGACTGGGGAGAGGCATGGGACGAAGATGGTGAAGCGGATGTGTCTGTCGAGTCCAATGGCAAGGCTGCCGGTGCCCAGCCCGAGGATGACGGTACCGATGCTTGGGGGTGGGAGGAGGAAGAGGCAGCGGGCGAGACGAAGCCGCCATCCGGCAAGGCCGACGACGATGAAGACGAGAGCGCCGACGCGTGGGGCTGGGGCGACGACATCGGGACGCAGGAACCCGCTTCGGCTCCGGCTGCTACCGATGCTGGGAAGTCGACCAAGCCGAAGTCGACTGCCACCGCAGCCGCAGCACAGAGCACACGAGAGCTCATTCTCAAGGAGACTTACCACATCTCGTCTATGCCCGACCCCGTGTTGGATCTCATCTCTTCCATACTCGACGACGGGGCACGGTTAGCCAAGGGAGGGGACGAGTTTGCGCACGTCTCGTCCATGGCGCCGGGATTGTTTGATCTCCCGACTTCTGCGCTGGCATTGTTCCGAGCCATCTCGCCTCATTACTATTCCCTCGACGGAGGCGGTAACATGTGAGCTGTTTCCACGCCCCCTCCCCTCTGCATAGCTGGTACTCGCCGTCGGGAAACACGGCATGCTGATCCGAAACAGGTTCCTCTACAACGATGCCATGTACCTGGCCGAGAGGCTATCGACCTTGTCGGAAGAGTGGAGGCAGCGGAGCGACGTGACGCCCCCGGTCAAGGGCATGCTCCGGCTGGAGGCAGACGCGAAGAGCCTGCAGAGCTTCGCCAACCGCAGCTACACCGACGAGATGAACGTGCAGAAGACGGTCCTACGGGACCTCGTCGGCGGATCGCAGGGCCTAGCAGGGCAGGACGAGTGGGAGTCGGCCATCGAGTCAGGCACGGCGCGGGTGCGGACCATGGCAGCGACGTGGGAGCCCATCCTTGCGCGGTCAGTCTGGTCGCAGGCGGTGGGATCTCTGGCCGACGCGCTGGCGATGAAGCTCATCACGGACGTGCTCGAGATGTCGTCGATCGGACAGGACGAGGCCTACAGCATAGCCAAAGTCATGGCTGCGGCCACGGAGCTGGACGACCTTTTCCTGCCGAGCAAGCTGTCGGGTGCCGGCGCGGGGACGGGAGCGGCGACGGCGGCAGAAGGCGACGAGATGCCCGCGACGGCGCAGTACGCGCCCAACTGGCTTCGGCTCAAGTATCTCAGCGAAGTGCTGCAGAGCAACCTCAACGAGGTGAAGTTCCTGTGGCTGGACAGCGAGCTGAGTCTGTACTTTACGGTGAACGAGGTGACGGACCTGATCGAGGCGAGCTTTGAGAACAATTCCAGGACGAGGGAGGCGATTCGGGAGATTCAGGCGAGGCCCAACCCGTTGGCATAGGACGGTGGTCAACATGATGATGGACGGCATACGAGCACAGCAAGGTGGACAGCTACGGAGGGAGGATGATGACATTGATGACGGAAAAATTGCTTGCGAGAGTAGCTGAGATTCTACCAGGTCAGATCGGATCGTAGGGTAACTTTTCAGCGAGTACCATGGTACATGATGGTGCCATCAGATCGAATCGGACCCTGGCAGGACGCAAAAGTTGAGCCCTTTCTTATTCTCCCGAGTATGTCCTTGTCCTCTGCCCTTGTCCTGTGCTTCTGCTTGGCAGTGTCGGCTGAATGCAGAGTCATGTTCTCCTTCCAGCCAAGACCAAGCAACTGTTTCACGTTCCTGGCGCGCGATCACGGAAGGAGAAAGTCGGGAATACCATGAGATGTACGGAACATTGATGAGACGGTAGTATTGGAGAATAGAACTGCTAGTAGTGAGAAATCTGCCAGTAAGAAGGACATGGGAAGAAGTATATACATGTACGGAGTGATCGGTGAGAGTCCATGTTAAAGCAAGCAAGCAATGTTTGAAGATTACTACGGTATTATTATTATTTTTTATCGTCGTTACTATTTAAAGGACATACAAAAGATACTCCGTACGAGTGAAGGAGTTCCACGTCAAAGCAGCGTATGACTTGCATGAAAACTGACGTGTAACAAGGATATCCCCGATAAGCCGGTGCATATGCGTGCAGACGACCAGGGGCTTCACCTTTCCCTCTCCTCCCAGGGCCGAGAAGGGAGAGGAGAGGTTGGTCAGGACCAGTACGGTCAGGGTAGGACAACGCACCTTCACCGGTCCCCCCCATATACAGGCAGGTGGATCAGGACGGGGAACAAGGACAAGGGATTGCACGGGCGCTGATGGCGACCGAAGAAGCCACGGACAGTATCGACGCTGCGAACTCCTCAACGAGGCCCGAGCCTCTGGGTGTCTCGGTGCGAGGGACAGAAAAGGCCATCGCAGCGCAAACAAACGCGCCCCCTCCCCCCCCCCCCCCAAAAAAAAAGACTCTTTTATCTCCCAGCCGAGGGAGGAGGAGGCCCTCGACTGGAAAATGCGGCGAGGGAAAAGTTTCTGTCTATCTGTCACATGCATGTTACATTCTGGTAGACTCTGACGATGCCGAGCACCACCAAACCCCCGAGCAATGTCGGCTTCACGTTCTTTTCTTCTTCTTCTTCTCCTTGTCATCTCGATCTAGCCGTGGGATCGAGATTTGACGAACTGCAGAATCTCGGGAGAAGAGGGATAGAAGGTAGAACGACGCGTCTCTAGGCGTCCGCCGGGGGGGGGGGGAACCCAAACCCCAACCCCAACCCCAACCCCAACCCCCTTGGTTTCAGTAATGGGGGCAGCATGTGTCGTGGATACGAGGACTTGGGAGCCACGAAGATCCCCTCGATCTTGTCACATTTCACACGGTCGAGGGAGTGATGAGATGGTAAATGGATCTAATTTTGTTGGTGGTTCCTTACACGGGACTGGGCAAGGATATTCTTAATTGAAGGGAGTTGGTAGAAGGAGTCAATAAAAATAAAGCTATAGAGAGAGGGAGGGAGTGGGAGAGAGAGAGAGATGGCAATAAGAGAGAGGAAGAGAAAAGAGAAGAAGAAGAAAGAAGATTTTTCCATTTTCAAATTAAAAGGGGGGAGGGGGAGGAACAGAGGAGAAGACGAAAGAAGAAGAAAGAGAGAAGAAAAGAGAAGGAAAGGAAAAGGAAAAGGAAGAACTCCACAGCGACATTCTGGCCTACGCTGTGGAAACATTGCGTGTAATATGAATTACTCCGTAATATTAATGTCTATAATACAGAAAAACCAACAATAACAACAACCCCACCACCGTCACCACCATCACCAGTTCTTGTGTGAATCGCACACCCTATAGCACGCGGGGGTATCGTTCAATCTCGATGACGAGACGATAACGGCGACGACGACAATCAGGTTTACTGTAAACAATAAGCACGACACATCATACTCACCCGGATACTATGTATGATTATATCCTCACATGACCGGGCTGTACAACGTCTGTCCTCGTCTGACTATTGGATGAATCGCATCGTTGAGGAGCAGCGACAGTTATGTCCCGATGACCCCGGATAGTCCGGTGTTCTTTTCTTTTTCTTCTCTTCTTGATTCTACAAGGGCCAAGGGGTGCTTACGCTTTTTATGTATTATTTAATTATTATTTCATACTTTTTTTTCTCCTACTGCCACCCCCCCCCCTTTTTCTCTACGAGTACGTGTGTAACGACTGGTGGTTATCAAGTAATATCGAGACTGCGTGGTCCAGTTGAGGAAGAGCAAGAAGAAGGAATAAATTATATATATACATATTCCTATAAAAAAAGAAGAAAAAAAGGAAAAGGAAAAGGGAAAAAGAGACTCAAGGATCGACAGGGAGGGCAAACAGAAAAAGAAGAAAAAGGCAAGACCCAACGAAAGATTGGGAGGGAAAAAGTAAATAAGATGAAAGAAAATAACAAGAACTAGAGACATGAAAGAGAAGAAAAAGAAACGAAAAGAAAAGAGGGGGTCAACATTGACTCACCTTCTCCTTTCCTGTTCTTCAAAACACATGAGCACAGAAGGAAAAAGGATTACAGACAATTCTGGTTGGAACGTCTACCGCACATAGTCGTACGACTTATATGTCCCTCATGGAGGAAAAAGTCACGAGGCCAAACTGCTCGGTAAGAGGAACTATCATCAAGGCGGGAAATGTGTAAGTGACGTGTACAAGTGACTCATACGACATTATCGGGTCGTCAGGTAAAGAAAGCATTTTCCCTTTACATTTCTCCATTCTTCATTCTTCTTCTCCTCCCCCCCCCCCCCCCCCCCCCCCCCCCTCCTTACAAGACAATAATGAGAGTGACAACGGTCCCGAGCCCTCGGTTTCGGCTTCCCGGTACAACGATCCACATTACGTATGCGAGTTTCATGAAACGGAGAATCCTTGTCAAGGAGGGGACCGGGGGGGGGGGGGGGTGGTGGTGGTGTTGACCGAGTATTACAGATTAATACGGAGTAACTTGTAAGTTGAGAGGGGTTGGGGGTTTAGAAGAAGTTTAGAGAGAGAGAGAAGAGAGGTCGATTAATCTCTCATTGGGCTGAAATGACGCTGCGTGTGTGATAAAGACTCTCTTTTTTTTTTCTTCTCCTTTCGTTCCGTCTCCATCATGGACGACCATGGCAAATTTCGAACCGCATCCCTGGGATTCCCTGGGATATTCTGTTCCCCACCGGGACGAGGACAAGTTCCATCAGGTCCCCAACTTGTACGGATTAATCAGTACAGATTACGTGTATCAGTATCGGCACCTACTACTCCCTTCTCGGATAGCTGCTATCTCACCCAGCTTCCACCGTTCCTAGAGAAGAGAAGCCAACTCGGTGGATATCGTCAGAAAGGAAAGAGAGAGAGAGAGAGAGAGAGAGAGAGAGAGAAAGAGATTGGCCATTTCTAATTGTACGGAGTAGAATGTAACAGTCGGTTGATGGCAAGATCAACTACCCCTCTCAAAACTATTGACCATGATCCCGTGGAAGGGTTCAAGATAAGAGGAAGAAGAGAAAAAGAGAGAAGAAAACGTGACCAAGTCTTTATGCGAGTAACCGTTCTAAAAGGGTTTAAACAGGAGGGAAAGGAAAGAAAAAAAAAAGGGAAAATAAAAGAAGATAAAAAGAAGATAAATAGAAGAGCAAATATGAACCCTGCAACTTGTCACTATCCCCACATCAAGTCCTTGCTCTCTCTCTCTCTCTCTCTCTCTCTCCCCTCTCAAAACATACACACACCCCCTTTCGATCTCTATAGTGAGGAGGATTAGCCGTTTCCTTTCTTCTTCTTCTTTTCTTGTTCCTTTTCCATTTTCCGTATGCATGGATAACCGTTGCAGCGGTACCGAGCTATATTAATATATATGTATGTATATACATATAAATTTAAAAAAAAATGGTCATTTATCTCTTCCCTGCACCGCACCCTCCCCCCCTCTTTGACAGATTGGTTAGATGGCAAGCTCTACATGTAGCATTGCTCGAACTGCATGGGGGATGTATATGATACTCTCACAGTTGAAGAGAAAAGTCGTCATGTGTACAGTTGAACTATGATATGGGCGGTGTAGTATATGAATGAGAAGAAGAAAGAGGAAACCCTTGAAGCCTTGAGGAGGGAGGGGAGGGAGAGAACTGCAAATAGAAGGCAAGGAAAAAGAAAAGAAGAATCAATCCTCGCCCTTTCAATCCTCGCCCTTCCTCCCCCCCTCCCCCTCTCTCTCTCTATCTATCTATATATATATATATAACCGGTCAGGGATGGTAATATTATGTACGTCTCCTAATATCGTATCAGATCAAGAGAGGCATGCCAGCATCGAATTCTGATCATGTGCTTCCCCCCCCCCCCTCATCCCTACAAGCCGGGATGAGATCATGTGCCTTTTTTAGCGTATACAAAGGTCTTGATACTCACTCCGTATAATCTGTACTCCTCGGTGATACATCATCATCCCCCCCTCCATACGGCGGTGAAGCGGTCAAACCAGAGGATATGCAGCCTTGTGTGTGTGTGTGTGCAGATCAGATCGGATTTAGGAGAGGACAAAGAAAAAAAACAAAAGAAGTCTGTTTCGAGGCGTTTGAAAGCGGTGAGGGAGCAAGGGAACGAGGGAAGACTTGTCCCATCACCACATGATGAGGGAAGGATTGTGCACATGCAACATACTCGGTGAAAGATGGGAAGGATGATAAAACACTAGCCGCAAGTCGTCATACTGATAATGAATATCCCTCGTCATGACCTTCTATTTATTTATTTATGCGACAAGTCGGCGACGGCCACAGTAGTAGCTTGTAAGCTGTGCGGCGTTGAATCAGATGGAATCCACCCCCCCTCCCCATGGAATTACGACATGTGGAGATGCTCACGATGTCTCACAATGTTTGACATCTGATGATGGATGGGGTTTGGGTGACCCC